CCTTGTGCTCTGTTTACCGAGTTTAAATACTTTGAGTTGTCTGCGCTTGTTGTGTGTAACTCTCATGTGACTATCAATCAATTAAGTGACCCTTATTAGTCCCATAACAGGGAAATTTCACCTCTGCAATCTAACCCATCCATGCAGTGAAACACCCACATACACATTAGTGAACACACACACTAGGGGGCAGTGAGCATACTTGCCTGGAACGGTGGGCAGTCCTATCCGCAGCACCTGGGGAGCAGTTGGGGGTTAGGTGCCTTGCTCAAGGGCACCACAGTCACGTACTGTCGGCTCGGTCCCCTAACCTCCAGCCTATCTCCCCCACCCCCCCGCCTCTATCTATCTATCTATCTATCTATATATATATATATATATATACATACATACATATATATATCTACAGTGCTCTGAACAAGTGTTTGCCCCTCACCCAATTTCTTCTGTTATTGCTAATTTGTCACATTTAAATGTTTCAGATCATCCAACTAAGTTTAATATAAGACAAAGACAACACGAGTAAACACAAAATGCATCTTTAAAATAATCATTCCATTCACAGAAGATAAACACCATACACCAATGTTAAAAAAAATAATTGCCCCTTTTGTGCCACCTTTGTCAGCAACAACTGCAATCAAACATTTGCGATAACTTGCAATGAGTCTTTTACATTGCTGTGGAGGAATTTGGGCCCACTCTTTTTTGCAGAATTGTTCTAATTGAATTACATTTGAGGGTTTTAGAGCATGAACTGTCTTGCCACAGCATCTCAATGAGGTTCTTATGATGGAATGCAGTGTTAGCTTTATGCAAGATGTAACGGGACCCATGTCTTCCAAAAAGTTTCACCTTTGACTCATCAGTCCAGAGAATATTATTATAATAGTCTTGGGGCTCATCTAGATGTTTTTTTGGCAAATGCAAGCTCAGCCTTTGTGTTCTTTTTGGTCAGCAGTGGTTTGCATTGACCTTAACTAGTGGGGCCTGTGGATAATGGCTCTCACTGTGGTTCGCTGGAGTCCTAGAACCTTAGCAATGGCTTTGTAACCCTCTCCAGACTGGTACATTTCAATGACTTTGTTTCTGTAATCCATATGTGAATCTCTTTAGAAGGTGGCATCATGTGTTGCTTTTTGAGATCTTCTAGTCTGCTTCACATTTCAGAACACAGGTTCTATTTAAGTGATGTTTAGATTCAACAAGTCTGGCAGTAATCATGCTGTGGCTAGTGACATTCAACCCAATAGTCGATTAAATTTAGTTAACCTTTTAAACTCCTTGAGACCACTAGTGGTTCCAAAACGCACTTTGTCATATTCTTCATAACTTTCATATTTCATAAGCTACATTCAAAAGGTAGGTGTCATATGAGAGCTGTAACTGTCTTCTTTCCAGTCAAATAGATGGGTGATGTCATTTTAAAATCTTATAATAAAAGAAGCTGAACTCACAATTTTTTTTTTTTTTGTCTACTGAAAGTCCACCCATTTTTTGACAAATCTGGGATATAAACTATAAACAGATGGTGTCTCTTCAGTGATCTGCTCTGTGAAAATTATTTTTATAAATAAATACAAAGAGCGTCTAAGATTTTTGGCTTTCAGCAGTAAATTGTAAGTATATAGCAATATGTGTATGATCATAAAACACATTTTCTGTTAATTTGAGGGGAGCTTTTACAAAAAATAAATAAATAAAATAAAAACGTACATTTATTTCATGCAGTTACTGAATAATTTGCCTTACGATTTGGTCATGTTAATTCAGATGGACAAACCAAAATATACCCTGGAGAATAAGAGGTCAACTGGTTGATTTAGTAGCTACGGGAGCAGTTACTTTTTCAGACACGGACAGGTGGGGCTGAATAGCATTTTTTTCTTCAGTAAATGAAATTTATTTTTGTGTTTATGTGGGATGTCTTTATCTAATTTTAAAAGTAGTTTTCATTACATGTTGGTTTGGAAAAAGTATTTTACCAGGTTGACACCTTACCTCACATTAAATACCAACACTTTCTGTCTCTGTGTGTTTTTCTTTGTAAGTAAGTAGTAAGTAAAGTTTATTTATATAGCGCTTTTTACAACAGGTGTTGTCACAAAGCAGCTTTACAAGGAAATGAGCATTACAAAAAGAAGTCCGGGTCCGAGCCCCCATGAGCAAGCCAGTGGCGACAGTGGCAAGGAAAAACTCCCTAAGAGAAACAGGAAGAAACCTTGAGAGGAACCAGGACTCAGAAGGGGAACCCATCCTCCTCTGGTCGACACCGGATAGTAAACATTGTTAGTATAAAGTATTATAGTACAAAAAACAGGGTAAAACGTGAAGGAAACAATTAATTTGAATAGTTCAGTTCATGCAGCAGAAGCAGCAGCATCAGTGGGGTCAGGTTGTGAGGGTGAGGTTTGCACGGTGAGCAGTGGCACCCGATCAAGGCAGCAGAGGCAGCAGCATCAGCAGCAGGATGGGCAGCTGTTCAACTCGGCAAAAGAAAGAGAGGAAAAACACAGTCAATGGGTGATTGATTAATTTGAATTAGTTTGAATGATTGATTGGTTCAAGTGAATAATTTTGAATAGTTCATGCAGCAACAGCAGTAGTATCAGTGGGGTCAGGTTGTGAGGGTGAGGTTTGCACGGCGTTGAACAGCAGGAGGCTCAATGTTGGTAACCCGGTCCAGAGGGCTGGCGAGCAGTGGCACCCGATCGAGGCAGAAAAGGCAGCAGCATCAGAACGCACAGGATGGGCAGCTGTTCAACTCGGCGAAGAAAAGAAAGGAAAACACACAGAGAGGAAAACACACAGAGTTAGTTCTGTAATGGGTGACCGATCACAAATTACAGTGTTAGCAGAGACTCTGGCAGGTATAGAACTAACAGGGAAAACTAATTACCAAAGGCTTGAATATACAAGTAGGTTTTTAGCCTAGACTTAAAGACTGAGGCTGTGTCTGAGTCCCGAACATTAACAGGAAGACTATTCCAAAGCTGGGGGGCTTTGTATGAGAAAGCTCTCCCCCCTGACGTAACTTTATTAATTCTGGGTACTAATAGTAAGCCAGCACCTTGTGATCTAAGTAGGCGGGATGGTTCATAGTGAGATAGAAGTTCACTCAGGTACAGCGGGGCGAGTCCGTTTAGTGCTTTATAAGTCAGCAAGAGAATTTTATAATCAATCCGAAATTTTACTGGCAACCAGTGTAAGGCTGATAAAACTGGGCTGATATGGTCAAACTTTCTGGTTCTAGTAAGAACTCTGGCTGCAGCGTTCTGGACTAGCTGAAGCTTGTTAATGCTTTTGCTGGGACATCCAGCCAGCAGGGCATTACAGTAATCTAGCCTTGAAGTAATAAATGCATGAACTAACTTTTCTGCATCCTGTAGAGATAATGCATTTCTCAATTTAGCAATATTGCGAAGATGCAGGAAGGCTGTTCTAGTAATATTAGTTATATGTGTGTCGAAGGACAGATCAGGGTCTATAATGACACCAAGGTTTTTTACATATGAGCTTGATGCAACTGAGAAATTGTTAAGTTTAAGTGTTAAATTAGACAGTTTGTTTCTAGCTGCTTTTGGACCAAGAAGCAGAACCTCTGTTTTATCTGAGTTTAGAAGGAGAAAGTTACTCGACATCCAGTCCTTTATGTCTTGTATACAGTCTTCAATCTTGCTAAGTTTAATTCTATCATCTGGGTCGCTTGCTAAATATAACTGAGTGTCATCGGCATAGCAGTGGAAGTTTATGCCGTGTCTACTGATAATGGTGCCCAGTGGTAGCATATATAAAGTGAATAATACAGGTCCTAAAACAGAGCCTTGTGGAACACCATATTTTACTTTTGTGAGAACAGATGATTCACCGTTTATATTAACAAACTGATACCGATCAGTGAGGTAGGACCGGAACCAGGAAAGAGCTGTTCCTGTTACCCCTACAAGGTTTTCTAGTCTGTCTAGTAAGATAGTGTGGTCTATTGTGTCAAATGCCGCACTAAGATCGAAGAGGACTAACAAGGACACATGATCTTGGTCAGAAAATAATAATAGATCATTTACAATTTTTACTAGTGCTGTTTCTGTACTATGATGTGGCCTAAAACCAGATTGGAATTTTTCATGTATTTGATTCCTATGTAAAAAGGAGCTTAACTGTTTTGCTACAACTTTTTCCAAGATCTTAGATATAAAGGAGAGATTCGAGATGGGTCTATAATTTGAAAGTTCGCATGGATCGAGGTTAGCTTTCTTAATCAGCGGTCTAATTACTGCTAGTTTAAGAGATTTTGGAATGTACCCAAGGCTAAGAGAAGAGTTTATTATTGACAGAATAGGCTTGGTTATTTCTGGCAGAATTTCCTTGAGTAAACCTGTAGGAATCGGATCTAGCATACAGGTAGATGATTTCGCGGAAGAGACTATTTTAAATAGTTCATTTTCTTGGAGTAAGGTAAACGATTCCAGCCTCTCTGCAGGAATTATAATATTTTCAAGATTGAGGCTGGCATTATGGGGAAGCAGGTTTCTAGAGTTTAATTGTGTGGAAACTACTGTAGCTCATTTTCAGTATTGTATAAGAGCTCTATAACGCTCTATAACGTGTTTTCTACACACACACACACACACACACACACACACACACATATATATATATATATATATATATATATATATATATATATATATGTATATATATACACACACATACATACACATATATATAAAACATGAAATCTAAAATCTTGCGAACGCATCCAACCTGAAAATCATCGTTACCCCCTATAACAGCCTTTTTGTGGGTGATTTTAAACAGGAAACTGTTTTAAGCGGTCTCTGTGTGTTCATTTCGTTTCACACTGCACCGAAAATTAGGCCTCCATTTCCCAGAGAGCCTCAGCGCCTAACACCCCCCGCCCTCCTCCTCCCTCCGACCTGGCGCTTCCCCCTCTTCAGTCAAGCCCGAGTTGCTAATCTATCGCTGTTGTTGTTGAAGCTATGATGGCGGCAGCGGGCTGCGGATCAGCGACCGCGGCTGCCGCTGGAGGCGCGGGCGCTGTGGGAGTGGGCGCGGCGCGTGGCCGCTTTCCGGGCCGCCCGTGGTCGTCGCGGAGCCGCCTGCGTTCCGAGAAGCGGTGGCTGCTCGGCCGCTGCGGGGCCGACGAGTTTAGCGGCGCAGGAGGAGGAGGCCCGAGGCCCGCCTGCCCGCCGCTTGCGTGCGCCGAGGACCAGTCTCACTTGCGCCTGCTGGGGATCGAGGCGAGCTACAAGAGCCTCGGCGAGGCGGGCTACAGCTCGAGTGGGAGCGAAGAGGTGAGCGAGCGAGTGGAGCAGCGTTGCGCCGCGCTGCTTGAGCTCTCAGGCCCAGCGGCGTAGGCTGAGTGTCCGCTGAGTGCAACTTTAGTTTCGGTGAAGCTTATTATGAAGCACGCAAGGGGAGCTACAGCCATTGGAACAAAATGGACATTAGGAGGCGGGGAGTGTTGCCCAGCTAAAGAACTAGCTGGCGCACCGGATCTGTTAGCTAGCAGTTCCCTCATGTGCACAAAAAATATGGGGCAACAGTTAGTTAAATGATAGAGATCGTGCACGGCTACCTGTTTGCAACGCTGGTGTTAAAAACAATGCGAGTGCTTGCTCACAACAGCGAGTGGCTGCTTACAAGTTAGCTTCCTATTCTTGTTCGAATTCACCCGTTCCACCTTAAACGGTGCAGCAGTTGCAGCAGCAGCCTCAGGCACCAGAATGTAACTGCGGCACCATTTAAGGAGGAACGGATGAATTAGAATAGGAAGCCAACTTAAGCCTCGTCTGCTGCCCTGTATGTATATGTGTGTATGTGTGTGTTATCATGGAGGGGGGAGGGGCGAGCTACTGTAGCATTGTAGCTAACGGAGCAGAAGGTGTGCGATCTGCCCTGATCCGAGTTATCGTGAAGATGAGGATAATGCGCTTGAAGTTCGTTTTGTGTGACTGTGCTTGTGCGCTGATGTCTGCTTTTGGTGTGGAAGTTCTCGTTTTGTGTGTGTGTATGTGTGTGTTTTAATGGAAGCTGCTCACATGTGCGTGGCCCGAGGGGGCAGGAAAGGGGGCACGGCTCCAGTTTAGGCGAAGCCTCGGCCACAGATAGTTGATAAGATCTGGATAACCTGCAGTGTAGAATGAGAGTGCGATTTCCACCGCGAGGCCACAGTTTGGCCATTGAGTTTAGCCCCGAGTGCTGTGAGCAGGGGGTCTGCTGCTGGGGTCTGCACTGTGCTGTGGCATCCCTGCTGTGCTTCAGGTGCAAGCATGCTAGACTTCTTAATGGCCAGTGTTCCCACCAAGCAGTTTTGTACATTTTTAGGGTTTTTATGGCCTCTGTAAAGTAGTCATTCTAAGATTGATGCAGTATGGGAATTCTGGACTACCTCTGAAATCCATTATTTTTCCTGTACATATGTATTAATGTTGATGCTGATTTTATGTAAATGTATATGTGTATATATAAAAAAGTGTAGGGACTAAACTGGGAAATCCACCTGCATTAGCATTATGGAGAAATGTAACATTAATTTGTTGCAAACATAAATTTTTTATAAAAAGGGCTGGGTATTGTTCCAAACTTTTTGACACAGATGCCTGTAATTCAGTACTGCATCCTGAAAAATACTGTTTTTTGAAACCGTATTTTAAATACAGAATAATATAAGTAAAGTCACGTATTGTAAAATGACATCAGAGTAATTAAAGGTGTGCCGTGCAGAATTTAGTGCTGGTGATAATGCTGGCGGTAATAACACATAATGTGGACAGGTTGTCACCAGTCTAGGTTTTGGAACAAGCATGGTTATTGGCTCACAGATGCTCATAAAAATTGATATAATAAATGGCACATTTTTTTTACTCTGTAGAATTGAAGTAACACAGTCTATACATTATTGTTTTTTGTGAATGCAGTACATCACATCTTCAAATACTGGTTTGAACTATAGGTCAAGTTTAACCGTCACCCTTTTGGTGATACATTTTTGTTTTTAAAAATAATCTGCCGATATTGACACAATTCCAGTATCATCACGTGACTTTACAATCCAATATATTAGTCTTGTCAGGAGTGACGCCACAGCACGCAAACTAATTTGCAGACTAGATGCGTTATGATATCAGAATCATAACAGTAGTGGCAGATAATTACTTAAAAATGTTAAACATTGGCTCTGTGATTAGATTTGACTGCTAATTCAAACCAGTGTTTCATGATGTATTTATTATACACAAGAAGAGCAGAATGTTTAGCCAATGCTGTATTACTGTGCTAAAATATTAGCATTTTGTTCATTTGATTGCATTCGTAACCCTCTACAAGTAAATGTTACCATTCTCTGCAATGGCAGTCCAGATATATTGAGCTCTAAATTCTACATTTTCTAATTTTGTGTGTATTTGCGTCAGCATTGGCATCAACAGACACGTACATGAAAAATCTATATTCCTAAACTGGTGCATTCCTACACTGGATGGTTAATATTAGATATGGCAGTTGTTGGCTGTCGATAGTAATCAATATTTCTGCGCCTTGTGTCTGCCAACATCAGTATTGTGTCTTTATTACATTCTAACCATAAGTAATTGTGTTATTACATCAAACTAAAGTTTGCTGCCCTGATGCAAAAAGAAATTCTCTTTAGGCTGCTTCAAGTTCAACTAGTGGTTAAGAAGACACGCGCATGTTTGGTAATAAGGACATGAGGCACTGCATTAAATGAATCTCTGTATTAATGACGAGTAAAGTTATTGTTTTAGAGATGGATGTTTGTCTTTGCACAGTGATGAAATATCCATAGCCCTTTAGGCTGTTCAGTGTTAAACTCAATTTTAAAGAATTTCATCCACACTAGTTATGATGTACATGCACTTAGTGTCCTGAAAGCCACATACTTTTAACGGAAGAATGTCATTTAGAATATTTTAAAAGATTTGTTGAACAAAAGCCTTTTCCCTCTGTGTGAATTGCAGGGAGCTGATTTCAGAGGCTTTGAACATGAAAACAGTGGTGTTCCTGAACAGTCGAGACGGAATCCTCCCAAACGTAAGTGTGGACATAAATGTCTAGTGCTTGCTGTATTGTTTTAATAAGGAAATGAGTTCACATTGTTTGTTCTTTCGCTGATCTGTAACTGGTGACGTTGATCCCTGTCAGCAGAAATGTGAATTTTGTTGACCTTTATTGTGCTTAGCATTTTATGAGATATTTTTGCTGATATGGCCAATAGTAAATGAATTCAAGGGAAAAAATGTTGCATGTGACTGCAAACTGTTATGTTGTTTATTTATGTTCAGTGGCACCTTTGACATTTTGTTGAGTTCATATAAAAATGCAGATTAAAATATCTTGGTTTTAAATGTTGCAGGTAATCGTGCATCAGCAAAATCCACAAAGAGGCTATGTCAGAGACCAGCTCCTGCAGCAGCCACAGAGGTGGAAAACGTTCAGACTCTTGAAAATGATTCAGGATTTACACGGAAGCTACACAGTAAAGGGTCTACTAATGCTGTATCAGTTGAAGATGGTGATCCTGGTGCAGATAAGCTCTCGAAACCGAGACGAAAAAGAGACTCTGTGAAAGACGTACCGTCAGCTCCAAAGATCACCATTAAGTTGGTGACTAAAAAGAGAGTGAAAGTGGATCCGTCGTCACACCAGAAGCTTGAAAGAAAGCAAAAAGGAAACAAAGTCCCGTCTGAAGCTAAAGAAACCCAATGTGCTGTAGTCTCATCTGCGCATGTTAAATTAAAAACAGCTAAACAAGCTACTGATAGTGCTTCTGCTGAAGTAAAAGAACAGGTTAATACAAGAAGGCGAGGGAGGTCTGCTGACAAAAAGGTAGAATCCACCCCTCAGAGAGTGCCTGAAACAGAGGCTGGTGACCAAAAGGTGGAGGCAAAATTGAGGAAATCTGCCAGCAAGTCTCAACCTGCACCATGTAGTGACAATGTAGAGCCAAAAACCGATGAGAAGAACGCAGAACCAGAGGACAGTGTCTCAAAAGAAAACACTGAAGTAAAAAAACTTGTGATCCGGAGACGGCACAGAACGGACTCAAGTCACGCCCAAGAATCAGCAGATCATAACAGTGAGGGCTCTTTGGCAGAGTCATTATTAGAAGTGTCAACGATTGAGGAATCTATACCGATTTCCAAGAAGAAAAAAGGGAAAAAAAAGAAGAGACATCGTAAAGACAAAGTCTCGGAAAAAGTTAAAGAGAACAGGGATCTCTTGTCTGAGCAGCTAGCAGGTGACTCTGCAGAAATGAGGTCCATTGAGAAAGAGTTTGTGGGAATTCCAGGGTTAAAACTCACCAGAATACGGAACCCGAAAGCCAGGTCTCGTAAGAAACGCAGCAAATTTATCTGGACCCTAACACTGGTAAAGTGCAAAAACAAGAGTGTAAGTCCACAAGAAAATCTAAGCAAAGCACCAGATAGCCTTAGGAAAGGGACAGAGCCTCCCTCAAAATGTGCAGAAAAGGTTGATGTTTCCACAGAGCCTAAATCTGCATCTATACCTACAGACACTTCTGAAGTTCAGAACACTCCACAGACATCTGAAAATCAAGAACCAACTGATAATTTAGTACCTGAAAACCTAGAAAAGCCGGAGAAAGAGGAGGAGACCTCAAGCAAAAATGATGAGGAGCTTGCTATTAGGTCAGAAGTTGCAAAAGAATTTCATCCAGAGGAGGCTGCACAAACCCATTCAGATGATCTAATCAGCAAAGATTTCATTTCTCCCCTTCAGATCAAAGTTGGAACCTCACCAAAAAAACGCAGCAGTTTGAAGCAACCATTTCTAAACCAGAAGGTTCTAGCTACACCTGAACATAAAGAACTTTCTGCTGAGGCTGATGATCATCAGTCTTCAGCAGAAGTACCAGAAAACCATCTTGAAACTATTGCCCCTCCGACACCCAGGCTAAAGCCCAGGTTGAGTCAAAACACTGCCAGAAAGAAGCGTGCAAGGCATAAACCTTGGTCAATACAAAAGCGAAAACCTAAAGCAGCTCCTTCTGATGTGAACCCTGATTCTGAAATTATTACTGAAACCCCAGCAATTCCAACAACTGAAGCTGAACCCAAGTCTGAGGAGATATCAACATTGTGTGAGCAAAAGAAACCAAGGAAGTGCTCTGTTCGAGCTGGTCTCTCAACAAGACGATCAGTTCCAAAAAGACCACCACAGGCTTTACCTGCTCCTGAGAGTCATCAGTCTTGTGAAGCACCACTGCCTGAGGCAACTGAACCCACAAGCATTGATAGTGCTGCTCTTCAGCCTCATCCTGTAACAGAAACGCAACCAGACATTAAGCCTGAAAAGACACCATCAGCCGCAGATGCCGAAGTTCTGGTTTTAGAGCCTCCCGTCACAGATGAGGCGCAGCCTCCTCGTCCTGCTCAGAAACCATTCAAGCAAGTTAAAAAAAGGCGCAGAGCTTTGATAGGACAGAGGTTTAGATCTCGCAGACACAAGTTGCCACTAAGACCTGTAGTTGAAAAAGTGGGTGATGCTTGCTCACCAGTGGGTGCCTCTGAGCCAGCACGACCAAAACTAGCTGGCATACTTAAGACGAAGTACAAGAAGCAACAGGTTTCCCAGAATCTTCCTCAGACTCTTGAAGGTGAAAAAAACAAGGCAACATTTGTAGCCCAGCAAGAGGAAAAGGAACCTGAGGTGCAGACTTTCGATCTGGAAGAAAAGGAGTCTGTGAATGAAAAAATAGATCTTGAATCGTCCGACGTTCAGCCCGGTAAAACAAAATTTGTTAAAAACATAAAGCATTTCATAATGCCTGTTGTAAGCGCCCGGTCTTCTCGAGTGATCAAAACACCAAAGAGGTTTATGGATGATGCAGACATGTCGGATCTGCCGCGGAGGAACTCTCAGAAGAAAGGCCACCAGCCGGGAGGGCAGCCGAAGCTGAAGAAACGAGAGAGTGGTGAGGCAGGCGAGTCTGATTCTCTTCAGCCACAGGATGAGGAAGATGTTCTTCCTGAAGCCCAGTTAGATCTTGATTTGTCTTCTGCCGAAGAATCCAAGACTGAGCCAGTGGAGGACATTGAAAGTGGAGACAAATTCTCTGGCAAGAGGCGGTCGCTACTCCGAGACCCCAGTTTTAATTGGAAAGTACTAGAGCCTGTAGGTGCGGATGTGTACAACTTTGATCAGGACATCGAAAAGGAGTATGAGGCCTTGTTGTCTGCCAAAGATTTGTCATTAGATTCAATAATTGATTCTTCTCCAAAGAAGAAAAAGAGTGTGAAAAAGCAACCATCAAACCTGAAGGCAGATAAGAAACTGACAGATAAGCTAAATTATGGGCTTAATAGTAAAAGTGAAAAAAAGGTCCCAACAGGTGAAACAGAGATAGATCCACAGCCGGCTGAAGCACAAAAGGGGGAGCTGGAGGAAGAGGACAGTTTAATTCAGTCTCTTTCTGATGCTGAGAGAGAGAAAGCTAAACTGAAGATTGAGGATCTCGACACCCCAGGGGTGGTTCGTAAGGTATCCATCTGCATGCATGCCCTCAGCTCCAAGTTACTGGCACAGCAACAAGAGGAGCAGGCTGAAGAAGTGCCAGATGAATTCTCCATCCACACAGACATTTCACTTCCCAACAAATGCATGGGTAAGCTCCTCAGGTCTCTTTTTTTCCCTCATATCAGTATTAATGTCTTTTAAACTGTAAAGCTCTGTCTACAGTACACAATTTTTTTTTGTCTGTGCCTGATTTTAACCCCAAATCAGACACATTTTCACAATCTGAAGCAATTTTCCTGGTCATGAGTTTGGCGACTGACGTCATTGATGATCTGGTAGTGTTAGAGGGGTAATGAATCTTTTAGCCTCCTGATCAGACATTAGATTTTTTTCAGACATGTTTGCTTTTTATGCTTTGAAGCATTCATGTGCTCTGTATCGTGAGATGGTCACCGGTGTAACTGCACACAGGGTGTGTAGTGAACCTCTGAGATAGAAGAGCTGCCAAGTGAACATGCAAATTAGAGCCTATATAATGTTCATAATGTATGGATCCAGACATCAAGGTTTTGAGTGCTTCTTCATTCATTCTTCATGTGTGTGATACCCTCTTTCTGGATTTTAGAAGTTGTATAATAGTGGTTTAATGCTGGTTTGGTTTAATTCAGAGACACAGAAAGATGTTTTGAGTTGGGTTTTGTGTTGTTCCATTTGAATTTTTTTGATAATTTACAGAATGTATCATAATATGCCATAAGGTCGTGGGAGACGACAACGTACACATGTAACTGAAACATCAAACCACTGATGCACAGACTGATTTCTCTGTTCTCCTGTACAAACTTTATGCACGTGAGTTGAGTGATGTCCAGTCAGATTGTTGATGTTTGGCAGGGTAGCTGATTGTCATCCCCACAGTCACGTGCTGAGACTCGAATGTACATATAGTGGGAGGTATAACGTTGGATTATATTCAGTGTTCAGGGGATCATTCGTTTTTTTACTTTTATAAACGATATTAAGCTGCTCTGAAGCTCAGAAATGGCCTACAGCTCTGCACTTAACCTGCATGTGTTTTAGTGATCCACCGCCAAAACAGATAGAAGTTGTTGAGGGAAGTGATTTGGCCCACTATAGTGAAAATGTATTTGTAACCTAAATACTGCAGGTTTTGAAAAAAGAAAGCCCCCTCAGCACCCCCACTTCCAGCACCCCTGGTTTAATTTTTTTTAAAAAAATCATACATTTACTATTATTCAAAATAGAGATGGAACATTACCACTTTTTCTTGTTTGATACCTAAACCTTGAGCATCTCCTGATCTACCTTTTTCCTCCCAAAACTATTGTCTCAAAATTTGAATATTTTATATATTTTTATATAACTATTATCACATGACATTATTGTCTAGTTACTGATGTTATAACATGACTGCTTTACGTTTTGTGATGCTACAAGCAGTTATTCAGTAGGCTTGTTACAGAATCAGATTCATACTTTATTTTTTTTTCACTTCTTATCCGATCCAACATTTTCTGCTGATATCTGTTGGATAACGATAGTCATTCTCGGATCAGTGTCATCTCTAATTCGATATCTCCATACCTGACAACAGTTTATTATTGTTAAGTAACATTGCTTCTGTCTTATTTTTCTTTTGCCCAAATATTAGATATAGAGAAAATGCTTCAGGCTGAAGCAAATGATCAGAAATTAGAAGGAAGCCTTGATCAGAAGACTGGTGGAGATGCCGTTAACTCAGAGGACAGAGGTGCCACACAGCGTCCCCGTCTCACAGGCGCCAACAAGCAAATGCTCAACCTCCTCAAGAAAGCCAAGGTTCAGCTCATCAAGATAGATCAGCAGAAACAGCTCAAGTCATCAGGGGTAAGGCTGAAATAAAACAATTGGCTTGTTCTTATGCATAGATATAGTTGTACAGTGTTTCAGAATTGCAGATATACAGTCATGCAAAAAGTTTGAACACCCCCCTGTCAAATTACATGTTTTGTTAATTAAGTGAAAATAAGTTAAAGCATACTCTACAGGGAAGAAACTTGAATATACAAATGTGTGTGGTGTCTGATGTTTGCTTCTTTAGTTTAGCACTAGATCTGCAAAGCTGAAGTAGGTTAAACATAGGCTAATGGATTGTTATTCCCCAACAATTAGCAGTGAGAAAACAACATGCCTTAATTGTCATATGCTTGGCCTGAGCACATTAAGTTTTTAAGTAAACTCCAGTAGACTTGCTTACATGGTTTCTGACATTGTATGACATACTGTTATGTCTAATAATAGACAAAAGTATGTCCCATGGCTATAACAGTAGCTGCCAGTGTGAAGCCTCGTCTGTTGGCTTTTATTGTTGCTTATGTTCTAGAAGTGTAGTAATAATGATGATGATGGTGATTTTATGAGCACTTTTCATACATGTAGCAGCTCAGAGTTCTTTGCAATGAAATAGTTAGTTTAAATAAATAAAAGCTGAAAAGCTTTATGTGAACTATTATCATATACTATCACAGCAAATGCTCGAAAATGAAGTTATTCTATTTAGGTCAGCATATTTTATAAAATGTCTTTTATATAGTTTAGTCAAAGTGCTAACATTGCTACCATTGAATGAAAGGAAATGCCCTATACCAGTTTTGGTGCAACAGGAGATGAAAAGAGGCATTAAGATCTTTAAATCAGTTGGTGTGCCACATGCAGGCCTTCTTCATCCTGTCACACACTATTTAAACTGACTGAGCAGTTTAAGAAATGTCATGGTAAAGTAACAGTAGTCTGCAAACTATAAATTGAATTAAGAGTGGGGAACACTGTTCTGGAGGTCTGGATTGCTGCACAATTTGGTGCTTTCAAATACATGACCAGACTGACTCAACAGACAACAGTCAGGGTTAGTGGGTGAGTTAGAGCAGTGAAATCGCCAAACTCTGCTGGGCTCTGCTGCTCAGTTCCCCACTGCTGCTGTATATTTTTGTGTGCAAGTTTACCCAATACTTGTCCTTCACTATCCTTTTCACCCAAGCTCCTCACTTTATTAGAAACACCTCCCTTGTACTTCCATTCACTGGCCATAGTTGGGGGTCCATCTACCTTGTTGGTTGACTTTAGCTGTAAACTTACAGACTAGCTTATCTTTTGTGAAGTATAATTTGTCAGCCCCATTCATTATTGTTCGGTTTCAGACTGGAGCAAATGATTGAAACACCAATCATATGGGGGATCATTCTGAGCACAGCAGTGATGACTACATTTCCATCCACTTTCTGTGCAGATTGCAAGCAATAAAATGAAAATGTTTAAAAAATATGGTTTATGGTAGCTTGTTTCCATTACACTGATGGTCAGTTTACATAATGAGGTAATTTCCTTAAAAAAAAAAAAAAGTTTCCATCTCTTAATTTCAGATATATTACAACTTTTGTACTTTTGGCATCCCCATAACCTACTACTGATTTACTATTTCACCAATTATTAATCAATTTCTCTTTTCCATTGGAACCCATATGCAAGAGATCACGATTCTGTGCCTTATAGAGCTGTTTTAGCACTTTCCATTTAGAAAAGCTGTAACCTTTCTGGACCTGTCTGTAATAGCTGAGAAGTGGCATTTAAAATTATATATATTAAAACTCCTGCTCGGTCCAGCTCTACCTCTCCACCATGCTGTTTGTGTTTGTAGTAAGAGGCATGTGAAGGAAATCATGTCACATGACAGATGACATGAAATGTGTAAATGTGTATTTTCCAGGGAAACAAGGTTTCCGATGTAAATTTTCACAACAGTCTAGTTTCCATGGCCTATATCACCAAACTTTTTTTTTTAAGCTTTGTTTTTTTTTCTTTATTTTCTGTTTTTATAGTGTTAAATGTGAGAGTAATGTGATAGTAAAAGAGTACTTCTATCACCTCACAATTTCTGGCCAATAAATGAGCACCACATGTGTAATTTGGCCCTGAAACAAATGGAAAAAGATACAGTATCACAGCAACCTTGGTGCGGACTTTAGAAAATGAACTAGGTATGAAAACAGTGAGATGGTCTTCAGAGATGTTAGCTAGCATAGTTTGTTATCTGAACCCAGTGAACTGCGGGATTAGAACAAACATTGAGTATTTCATAAATAGGTTATAGAGTCATTGTTTATAGTGTTTTTTTTTTTTTCTTGGAAACGATAAATTGTCCCCTGCTTCCTATGCTAAAACAGGACGAATACCTAATTACTGATTTCACTGTTGGAGTACAGTTAACGGAGTCCTCAAGAACCCATGTAGATCCCTAGTATATTTGGTGCTAATAGGAGTGTAATATTGTGGGTTCTAAATACACCCGAGTGTTACTGCTGTGTTGGGAACAGTCCTCTACCCAGAAATCCACCTGACAGTGGTTCTGCACTGACCACTGATGAGCGATTAGAGCAGGGTTAATCAGCTCCGGTCTTAGAGAGTCTGAATCCTGAGCAGTTTGGTTATTTCTCTACCTAAACACACCTACATGGCTGATACAAACAGATGGGCTACAATCTTTGATTGTTGATGGACCTACATGGTAGAGTTCTCTCATAAAGTGGTATATACATTATGTATCGTAGAAACTGTAACCGTTTAAAACCAGTTTTACAATTTGAAGGCACGGTAAATCACTTTGGGGGGTCCCCTTTTTCCATGTGATGCATAAGATATCTGCCTGTTTGTGTATCAGAGTATGTTGTGTTCACCTGTGAGCACATTGGGCCTCTGTGCCGTGCAGCACGGTCAGTAGTTTAGATGTGCAAGCAAGCTTCATACACATGCCATGTCCATACAAACTGGTAATAATTTCAGTGTGGAGATGTCAGCTGTACTGGAGAACATTTTTTTTCCATTTGTAGGTTCCTCCTAAAGCTCAGTCTACAGTTTTAAGACTAGATAAACGGTGTAAACTTCAGACCTCAAGGCTTTAAAAACTGTGCTGTGTTTTTGTTTATTTTACACTTAAAACATGTTTTGGTATTACAGCTCCTGAAAGAAGGCGGATTCACAGCTACGAAGAGGGAGAGGAGGAAACCGAAAGAGTGCCTTCAGAATGCCAGTCCCAGCAAGCCTGAAAAGACTGATGCCTCTTCAGAGCAGGTAATGCTGGTAGTGGTTTCCTTCTATTGCTTAACACGTCATATGACACAGCATACAGAAATTTTGATGAATGCTCAGCTCTAGATATTTGAATACTAAGAGGTTAGTCAAATTGAATGTTATACCAGTGTTACACCTTTTGGTTTTGGAATAGCAGTGCCTTCTGCTGCGCACTTTGAGCAGGAACTTCTGAGAACATTTACAAGCATGCCCTCCGGGAAGGGGAATAGGGTGGAGCAATTTCGGATTAAGTGCTTTGATCAAAGGGCACAATGTCTGTGCTCGATGTGCAGAAACCGTAGAACTTACAGCCCTGCAGTTCTCTGGCATTATGTCCCTTTCTCTTGGTTCGCAGCTAGGACTGAATCAGCAGCCTTCTGGTTGGAAGCCAGTAGCACAAACTTCTGCCATTAACCTTTTATCCTCACCATATCTGTGAATTATTTCACTTTGGTAGACTCCTGAAGGTGAAAACAGAGGAGGACCACGCATCAAGCATGTTTGTAGAGCTGCAGCTGTAGTTCTGGGGCAGCCCCGTGCCATGATCCCTGACGACATCCCCAGACTCAGTGCCCTCCCCTTGCATGAAAGATCAGGCATTTCTCCATCACCTGCTGATAAGGGTAACCGCACACAGTCAAAATGATAAATCGTTGCATACATTGGCAGTTAATGTGAAGCAGCATTTCATACTGCTGGTTATGATGAGCTTACATGATTAACGGTCTTTTGTGGAGTAATTGATATTTAAATTTTTTAGGTATTTGATAAGTCTTAGGGGTAAACAAAACTGACTTTCATTCTGTTTCATGTACTCCATGTTTTTTGCTATGCCTTTATTTAATAATTCCCTTTGTACAATCGTTGTAATATATGGTTAGTTTAAAATGTATACAGTAGAAAAGATTGCGTGTAAAATCCCAGGCCTATTGAATGCTAAGACTTACTGTTCAGTAACTACAGGGTCGTCACTGCAAACTGAGCTATTCTTAGGTTATAGAAGTGTATAATAAAACTTTGGGATCTACTCTGCGCAGGAATGGCAGTGTCTTGGATTTCATCCAAACAAATGCAGAGGACCACTCGATGTTAAGAGTTACATGCTGTCTGTGCAGAATGTAGTATCATTATGAATTATTAAGTGATGTTAGAAGTTAGTTCAGTTGGTAATTATATAATAGTTATACTACCATTAGGGAAAAATTGCAGCCTATAGCATAAGGCTCTATAAGCCTTATGCTATAGGCTGCTTATATGCAGTACGTCATAGTTATGTTGTTTGTCCTACTAATAATTCTGCAGATGATGTTTTGTCTAAATTTCTATTGTTTTAATGTATATTTGTATCAGAGCTGAGTAAATATGTTTTTGCTCTTTGTCATAAAAGATAACTGTCAGACAGTTCTTTGGTACACCTAAAGATGTTTATTTCCAGTGGTTATAAATGCATATTTGCTTAATTTATCAGAATTGATTACTTTTATTGGACTATATATATATATACGGCTACGTTCTTGTATATTTTCAGATATTGAGTCGCACTCTGACCCAGACAGCCCTGTTCTCCCTGATCAGAGGACACCTAAGTTTCGCAGAGTGAGTAGAGCTGGTATGTTTGGGCTCCGGTCCCGGAGATGTGGGGAATGTAAGGGCTGCCTGCATGAAGAGGACTGCGGCAGGTGCATGAACTGCCTGGACAAGCCCAAGTTTGGTGGACCCAACACCAAAAGACAGTGCTGTGTGTAAGTAAATGTAGAATACTTGTTTGAGTTCGCTTGTTTATTAGTTTTGATTGACTTGACTTTGGTGGCGTTTTCACACTTGAGAATGGATCTGTACTCAGGACAGATTCTGAGCTTGTTTTGGGGGTGGGGCTTATTGTTGTAGGTTTGTTTTCACGCAGGAGAACGTCTTCCATGAAACTGGAACTGTAGATCAGTTGTGCACAGTTTAGATAAAATGGTAGACAGTAAGGTCATCCCTTTACTGTTTTGTGACACTAAGGGGACACTTAGGGTAATGGCTTAATTTTTATTATTGTTATGTTGGTCTGACTGGCTACCAGCAAACCTGCACAAATCATGTGTTTTAATGGCTAATTTTGATTTCTTTATAGCCAAATTGGCTGCTGGCAGGTTTTTTTGGCTAATTTTTATTAACCTTTTTTATATAACCTGTAGCTCATGCTTCATGGGATAATGAGCAAATTTTTCTCATCTAGAATCTCTCTATATAAACACTGCTATTTTGTCAAACAGGAATTTTAAATTAATTTAGAAATCGTTCTTTGTTTAAATATAAAGAAAACAATCACAAAGCTACATCAAAAGTAAGAGGCAACTGACTATTTTGCACAAAAAGTCATGCAAAATTATTTTACAACATTTTGGTACAGGTGTAGCAGTAGCATTCAAATACAGCGTCAGGGCAAGGCCTATTCCCATTTCTTCTTTTTACCCTTACCCCTTGTTTTCCCCTTGAGTGTCACCCTAACTCGTTGGAACTGAGTTACAGGGGGTAGTGGTTAAAATCTTGCCCTACGACATGGGACAACCCTCAGATAAAAAAAAAACAAACAAAAAAAACATTGCTTCATTAACTAGCGGTGCTCTGTAGGCGACCCAGCCTGTCTTTAGTGATAGCAGTTCAGCAACCTCACTGCTGGGCTTTAGTTACGTTTAGGGCATCATATGCTTTCAAAGAGGGGTATAAGACAATTATTTATTATTGCTCACCACTAATTCGTTGGTGATACGAAGCTGAAGTCAGATGTTCACCAGCTTCTTGTTTGAATTTTCCTGTTCCACCTTAAATGGTGCAGCAGTTACATTCTGACACTTAAGGCGTCAGAACTGCTGGACTATTTAAGGTGGAATGGGAAAGTTAGCTAGCTAGCTACCGAAACATTAGCATGCTATTAGTGATTATTTTAGGCTTGCTATGAAGAAACGACCATAATACATTGAAACAACACTAAGATAATACAATGGTTATAGTGATTTTTTTTTTACGGAGAAAATGCTTACATTTGTGGGTTTGTCTGGTCGCTCGTGCAGCCATCTTGCGTTTTTTCTTTTTTTTTTCATAATACTCTGTTTGGATTGTGCCTCAGCCATACATACTGAAATCTCCCGGCAAACAATCAGGTGTGAAAACGTCCCTACTGTTATCGTGTGCAAGTTACATTTCAGGTGAATTTGACAAGGTGCATCTAGTTATATATCATGAGCCATATCATGCGTCTCTAAGCATAAGATCAGAGTATCCCCTCCAGCCATGCATATTACATCCATTTCTCTTTTACAGGTTTAAAAGGTGCGATCAGATCGAGGAACGCAAGGCCATGAGACTAAGTGGGAAACTATATAAAGGTAAGCGTTTAACTTTTTTGTTTTGAATGTTGTGTTTGTGATTTATTACGAAGTGCAGCTACTTTGGGGTGGCTCTGGGGTGTTTGGGCTTTTTTCTATGTAGTCTTTCCTCCTAGCTTTGTGTATCTGTCTTATTTCAGGGCACATGAAGAGACGGCGTTTATCGATTAGTGCGGGCCATTCGAGTAATGAGGAGGGTGAGGGGACGGAGGGGGCAGGGCGCTCCTCTCCCACGTCTGTGGGTGACAGTCAAAGCCCATCTTTACGGAAGCAGCCCCGGCGGCATGTTAAACCACGCTCCTACTGTGACCTGCTGGATTATGACTCTGACCTTGACCTCATCGGAATGCCCCACTCAACGTCTCCAGCCCGCAGGAGAGCGCCTGGTCCACGCAACACAGGTAAAAACAACAGAAGATGTAGGAACCGGTGTTGCTTTATCAAAGTGGCTTTCATGAGGTCAAGTGACGTCAAGTGAGCTTTCAAAGAGTCCTGTCACCTGGGCTTAGACGTGAAATTGGAATTTTACCCTTGTTTGTTTTTTGAATGTTTAAATATATTTGAATGTTAAATGTATTATTTTTCTAAGAAAATATGTAGGTTACATAAAAATGCTAAAGCTAAATGGCAACTCATGTTACACAGCTTATATGGCTGTGATGCCTTCAGCTTGTGCCTGCGAGCAAATCGCAGCTGTGATGTTTTTTTGCGATAACACACGACCTGGAGTGCTCTATTACTTCTATACAACAGTTAAATAAATAAAGTAAGAAATAAATAAATTGGGCCATGAACGCAGCATTTAATATGTTTTAATGTTAGTTCGTTCTCCAGCTCCTTACACTAAATTCCCAAACTGTCATCACCACTGAGCTTTTCAATTGGCTGCTGTGACAGAAGAACACCTAAACAACCTGGAATCAGCCAGAAATGAACCGAATACCATTCGCCAAACGTGTAGTCTCATCTTCAGAGTCTGACCAAATCGGCTATCGTTCAAATGTGATCTTAAAAGTATTCATTTTCTGTTTGTGCGCAAAGTAAGAAGTAAAAACAGCTACCTACAGCTGTCAAAGTTGTGGCTTAGCAACGACGCCTCAGTGGAGTGATACAGTGTTTGTGGAAAAAAAACGTGATATCACGGTGAAATAACAGCACGGTTAGAAAGCTTCTCAACCAGTCAGCTTGCGTGGCCGGAACTAACTGTTGTATTATGCCCGGCCTAAAACATACTAGGAATTACAGCAGAGGAAGATTAAAGTATTTGAATGGACATTGAACATATCAGAATGCTGTTGAACATGCAAACGTTTGAACCAAAGTTTATATTGACAGCCCTACCATCCATTCAGACTAGTTGCAGTTAAGTTTTACTTTGCATTAGTGAGCTAAGCGTGCTTCACTATATATATCTGAGGTTCTGTTACAGAAACTGTTTATCTTTTAGTCCTAATCTAAAATCTGATAGTCAAGATACGATTTTTTGCAAATGCGTATTACAGAAGCAAATCTTATCTGAATTGAGGAATTATGTTTTACCTTGCAGCATCTTATCTCAAGTTAGAAAATCCTAAACTACACAATCGAGGCCAGTAATCAGTTGTTTTGTCTGTTATCAAGCAACAAACAAAATGACATCCAGCTGAAACAAACATTAATCAGAATATAGTATACAAAAATGTAAGTTGGTTAGCTAGATAGCTCATGTCAAAACAGTTTCATTTTCAGTTTCTGTTTTTTTTGCTGACTTTAGCCAGCATGCACACTAATTTGTTACACTTAAACAGCTGCTTGTTCAACTCTGTCTCCTCATTATTTACCACCATCACCTCAGTATTTTATTTGGCAAGTTTTTAATGAACTTAAACACACAAAGGTAAAGAGAGGAAATGTTGGAGAATGCATGTGCAGTGTTGGGGATTTTTTTTTAAACCACAGGGTTAGAAATAAACATTGCTCTCAGAAGTGAAACCGCTATTTTGCAGTCTGAATAAATGTAAGACCTTTAGGCAAGTTATAGTGAAGTTCTGCTTCATGTCACGGTTGCCTAAAAGCAGTTACATTCTATATTCAGTACAACAGCTAAGTGTAGAAATGGAAGGTTAAAACAGAACCGCTGGGATTGTACTTTGGAAATGTTGTCTAGTTAGGATGCCTTCTGCAATACTGTTTTCTTATCTACAGGTAAGATTATAAACTGAGAAATGATTGTGCTGTAATAGCTGTTGTCCTACATTCGATTCCGAACTGAAGTTGTCATTGTGACTAAACAAACATGTCAGTGTAAGGATTTTCCTGTAACACCCCTGTAGATGTCAATACTTCGCACTCGTAGACCAATTATTCAGTAATGGACCTGAAACAGCCTATTCCTCAGCCTGTTACTTTGCTTTAAAACTGTGCCATATAGTAATATAAATATCTGTTGGCAAGTGTGCATATGGCAATAAACAGTTCTCTTTTGTTTTTCAAATGTTTGTTTATTTATCATTTTTGCTTATTCATTACAGACTTTGTGTCACTGGATGACTTTGTTGGCGATGGTCTTGATGAAGACATACGACATCGCAGGTCTGGATTAAACAAAGTTGCTCCTATCAGACGGAAAACAGAGAAGGTAACAGAAACTTAAGAGTGTTTTTTAGAAATCTGTAGCAGGTAAACCAAAGTAACTTGAACTGCAACCATCTGCTTTCTCAGAGCCCTCAGGAGCAAACCCCACCCAGCGTCTTGGCAGCCTTGGCAAACGGCTTTGCCCAGAGAGAGAACGAGCCTTCCCAGCCCTCGTACAAGATCCACGTCGACTTTAAGGTAAGCTGGGGGAAAATTCGCAGTTGGATGGCCTCTCTCTTACTTCCTACACTAAGATGTATTGAGTACACATATGTATAATTTAAGCAAACTATGGTGTAATTTATTTTTTATCATTAAACTTTGTGTTCAGTTGGTTAAAAAAAGTGTAGATATGATGGAGATTCAGCTCAGTGGATGCATTTTTTGATTTGTATCTAAATACTGTGGTAAACCACATGATGGCAGCACTAACATTACATATGGTCCACTGTTAGTGGATCTAAACCTCTGAATCAGAGAACTGATGATCTTGTTACTCGTTGTTGTGGTGGTTGTGGTGGTGGTTGTTGTTGTATTTTAAAAAGCCTATTTTTTAAAAAAATGCTTTGAACATCCACATATAGTAAAATAAACTACCTTAAACACAATTATGGACAATTATGTACCAGAACACACTAATATGGGAATTCAGGACTGATGCCAATATCCAGTATTGGTGCAGATGCATAAACATTTACAAAATGTAGAAGCTGGGACGTCTACATGAATTGCAATTACAAAGAGATATAGCATTTATTTGTTGCGAGGTTACAAAAACATTAAAATGTATAAAATGCAGACATTTTAGCTCAGCAGTTCAGTTTCATCTAAACATTTTGCTGCAGAACCATAAAAATGCCTAGCAATTGTCTGCCAACAACAGTTTTATTGTGATAATTATGTGTTAATTATCTTCGAACGTACAATAGGTCTTTTGAGAGAAGTTGTTAAGGGATGTCTACTTGTTTAATGCCTACTTGTTTAATGTGGGGGAAATAGGGAGATTATTATTTCTAATATTTCTCCCCATTTGCGTCATTTTGTGACAGGAATTCCAATGAGGCATTTCAGACAGCTGAGATAAGTTGTTTCTGTGGGAGAGGCTTTGTAACTTTGCAGACCGTTTATGTGCACAAAAATATACAACACACTGAAGGAAGGGGAAAAACCAGAAAAGCATAATAGGTCCCCTTTAAACCCAATGCTCACACCGTGTGGGTTAAATGAACACAAACAGAAATTTTCTATTTGGCAGAGTCGCAATTTAAATAAGGCTCAATAGATTGATCAGCCAATCGTTTGACCAGCTCCTTAGGGATGGTGAGCTGCCAGACTGAAATGAGTACGAGTTGGCCAGCTCCTGGTTCAGACAGCTGGGCAGATGGGCTTAGTAAGACTCTCATGCGAGTTAACATGGCAGATCGTGGATTTGCTTTGCAGAATTGCCTAAATATGAATAAAAACAGGTTGTATTTTTGATCCTACTGGGTTTTATCAAAGTTTTGTCCATATAAGCTCATTTTGGGACTAATAACTGCTTTGGGTCGTGTTAACCATGGTTCTGTGAGGAAAATCCACCGTGATCTAAATGAAGGGTCCCCTACTTTCCCTGCCCTCGAGCTCTCAAATGTAGAGACACATGTGGGTTCTTTTTCCACAAAAAACATGCCTTACGAAACAAAATTGACAAACATTCATGCTGTAATAGTTGGATCATAAAATGGTGTCTAGAGGTTGAAACTGAGTTGTAACACTTTCGAATGGTATATTCTGTGAGCATATAAAGTAAACAGTTCATTGTCGAATCAAAGCAAAGATAGGTACAGGTACAGATTCTGATTGGGTTCTTGTGTACCGTGTATGTTTCAGTGTGCATTAAGAGGTTAAATACATGCCTAGCTGGCATTTTAAATTTGTGCATTAAAAATCAGATGTCTGTATATACCATGAATCGAATACAGTGCAGCCAGTTTATGCATAGGTGTATCATCATGATTTAAATGCAGCAGCAGTCCGCTTACCTGGCTCACATTATTTACATCATAAACTTGCAGCGCAGGTTGAGCAAATTCAAAATAATGAAGTGACATACATACATACATCATCTAAACCGCTTATCCTTCTGGGTCGCGGTGGGGTGCTGGAGCCTATCCCAGCTGTCACTGGGCGGAAGGCAGGATACACCCTGGACAGGTATAATGAAGTGACTGACTGTGCAATTTGTGGATTGCCAGCTTTATTGATTGCTTTTATATGATTCTCATTTCTGTTTTCTCTCTATAGGAGGATTGTAGTGTACAGAGCGTTTGGTCAACCGGAGGGATGAGCATCCTCACCTCTGTGCCTACCATGCCACAGTATGTGTGCCTGCTGTGTGCCAGCAAAGGACAGCATGAGGTACATACTGAAATGTTTGCCACAGTAACTCCTCACTTCTCTCTCTGTGTATTGGTGCCAGAGGTTACCCGCAAAGGAAGTCTTTCAGGAAAGCTTTTTTTTGCAGTGTAACCTATAACCTCTTAAACATGTGAAATGTGTCATAGGCTAGATATAGATGAAATGTGTTGGTCTTAAAGTGCTGAGTTCTGCTGTTGGTTGTCTGTTCCAGATGCTGTACTGTCAAGTGTGTTGTGAACCTTTCCATCACTTCTGCTTGGAGGCATCAGAGCGACCTCAGGATGAGAACAAGGAGAACTGGTGCTGCCGCCGCTGCAAGTTTTGCCGTGTTTGTGGCCGCAAGAACAAACCTTCAAAAGTTGGTTGACTGTATTCAAAGTTGTTGCATGACAGTTTTTTTTTGAAGTCAGTTTTAGAGAATATTTTAAATTTTGACTTTGTAGCAGTGTTTAAATGTGAGTCATAAAAAATGAAAATTTCAGTGCCTTATTTATGCTTCTTTTCACCCCGCAGCCTCTGCTGGAGTGTGAACGATGCCAAAACTCTTATCATCCTGCTTGTCTAGGCCCCAACTACCCCAAACCCAACAAGCGCAAGAAGGCCTGGGTGAGTAACAACGCTTAAATCAACATGAAGCAGACACTGGAGTGCTTACCTGTTTCAGAATGGCAAAATACATTAATATATACTAATAGTAGCTAGGCAAAAGGGTGGTGTTAACGTGGGTTTTTTGATTATATGGCATCTTTTTTTATCCATGTAAGAGCACTTTAACCTTATAAAAAGTGGTAAAGTTCTGATGAATAAATTTGTGTGTGATCACAGGTGTGTATGACCTGCATCCGGTGTAAGAGCTGTGGCGTGACCCCAGGAAAGAGCTGGGATACAGAGTGGGACCACGATAAAGGCTTTTGTCCTGACTGCACAAGGCTCTTTGACCAGGGTGAGACACCAAGGCTAATTGCAAATGAATTACCTTATTTATAGTCAAAATGATTACCTAGGTATAACTTTCTGAAGACAGTTTTTGCTAAATGATTTACTTTCATTCTCAAAACTTAAACCAAAACCAGTCAAAACCAGGAATGCAAATTAAGCATATTATATTCAATAAAATGTCAATTATATTGTATATTATATTTTTAATTTGCATATACATACAATTGCAAAAATAAGGACATTTTAAATTAGCTCTTGCAAAATACCTACAATGTTAATTTAATGATGAATTAGAGAATAGAGAATGTCTAAGGAATATTGTGGCACAGAGTATTCCCTAACTTGGGTACATTAAACAAGAGTTTCTTCACACCCCCCCCAAACTTTTTGCCCCTCTTTAAAAGGCCTAATTATGTCTCGCCTGCCTGACAGATGCAACCAGTTTGCATACTCACACACACTTTTCCATTGCATCAGATATGGTTGCTGTACTTAGTTGAATGAGGCCATTAGGCTGTTTATGTAAACATCTGGATGAGGTCATTCTCATGTCAACAAGAGTACCTAGGAACTCACTGAGTAAATTCAGAGGTTCCTTCTGATAAAAAGTTACACTTCCTTGCAAAAGTAGAGCCGTTTGTTTATGTTTTGAAGTATAGTAATGTGCAAAACTCTTTGACACCTTATGCACCTGTTTAAAATCATATTTCTGGGCAATAAAACGCCATGTAACATTAGAATAAATGCAAACATGGATTAGCAAAATTCCATCGCCAGCTCACCTGATCTAACTTTAAAGGTTGTTCTGCCAAAGCAATATTGGATGAGAATTATAATGTACTTTAAGCTTCCTCTAGGAGAGGTTTGGAAACAGTTAAACAAAAACACTGACATACAAAATCACTACTTATTGTAAGAGTTTGTTTGTATTTATTCTCGCTGTAATATTAGATAAACTATAGATTTTGAAATGTAACTTTTGCACAGTACTGTATGTCTGTAAGTCTATAGTATACTTCCTTTAGGTGTTCTTGTGGCTGGCTCTCAGTCTTCTACTTGAAGATATTTTCCCCACTCCTCCTTACAAAACAGTTTGTTGGCGTTGTTGTGTGTACTGCCTGTTTCACGTCCTCCCACATGTCTACAGGCATCAGGTCAAAGTTCTCGCATTGAGCAATGTAATATTAGCAGTGTATTTCATCTTGTGAGAGAGTATCAGGCCAAGTGTGATGGCCTGCTTTTAGATGCCCATCTTAAGTGCTTCAATTAAAAATGGCTCATTTTAAAGCTTAGTAGTTTGTAAAGAAATCATATTGATATTGACCATTACTTCAGGTTTTAGTATTGGTTTCAGAAAAGAGAAAGTAATATTATGCAATCTCATAGGTGTCAACAGGCCATGATTCTGGCATTATGTAGCCACACATCTCATTTTGTTTAGACCAGACCACGCCACAGTTTGCAGTGCTGAAGTCTGAGTAATGGCTAAAGTATCAAGTTTCTTGCCACAGGTTCTCAAGGTTCTTTTAAATCCAAGGAATGTACAATTTGTTGTTTAGTCATTAGGTAATTTGGATGTTTCCTCTGTGCCAAACAGCTTCAGTTCATTTACTTGAACTGCTTTAAAAAAAAAATGTGTTGTTCATGAGTGAAAAATGGTGTCGGCTGGCAGAAAGAGGAAACTGTAGAACATGATTTGGAATGATTCTGTATGTTTATAACAGTGCGTCCAAATTTGTGAAAACTTTTCTAAGGGAAATAAAAGATTAAGGTGAAACTCAAATAAAGTGAGGAATGATTAGCCCAAACCTTTTTATCAACAGGACACTTGAGAAGACTGGTTAAAGCCTTGCTTCATCACATCCAATGGACATTTTGGCAATTTTCTTTATACATTTCAGTTCATGTGTAATTATTGGATGCCTTTCTTGAACAGCCTTCTTCAGGTCACCAGTTCAGTAAGACTGAGATCACCTTTAGACCATTCTAAAATACAATCTTGAGGGTTTCTGTTGTTGAGTCGTTGTTTCCGTTGTTATGTCTTTGTTTTTGCGTCATTGTGATGTTGAGTGAACCAGCTCTTGGATTTAGAGCGCAGACAGAGTCCCAGACGGTGTTGGAGAATCTTCTGAGAAACTTGCTTCCAAGCTGTCAAGGCCCTAAGAAATAAAGGCAGCCCTGTGTCATAACTCCTCATAACAGCACGTCCATGTGCTAGAACAGTCAGCTTTCTTCCAACATTACAACATTCACAGGTGTGAACTAAGCAGCAGTGGGTTTTGGTTGCTTGTTACCGTGCGTCATCCTGTGGTTGTTTGACACTTGTTTGAGGATTTGACCCGTGTGAAATTTGTAGTACGCCCACCATTTCCTAAAGTAGATGACAACAGAACTTAATTTCTTCCGTTTATTATATGCTGTTCTGCAGATTGTGTCTTGTGAAATCTTTTTCTAGTTGTCATGAACTCCTACAGCTGTTACTCTGAAGTACACAACAGGCCATATTTAGCTGTGGTCCATTGGGCTGTACTGCACTTAAACAGAATTCGTGTTTGAGCACTTTTGTCGTGGCAGCGATGTTTCCAAGCCAGTGCTATGCCTTTGCATTAACCAGCTGTCTTGTTAACGGTTCAGTCAGCTGTTCTCACTGTGGAGGAAACTGACTATGTAAAGGAAATGACAAAGTGAGCATGCATTACAGCCAGGTGTTGCAGCAAGCTGATTCTAGTTAATATGTGGAAAAATTATGAATGTAATATGTGCACTCTGTCCTCTCATACTTGCGCAAGTCTGGAATCTGGAGGTATCAGCATAGGCAGATGCGTACATGAAAAATATCAGATAACGAAATAGGGCCACAATTCCTGATGCATCCCTGTTGTACTCGTCTTTACTTCACTGTGGTATCACCTATAGTCTTCTGTTTGCTCAAGAGGAGGTAATTTTTGGAGTTTGATTTTGATGACACATTAATTTATATATATCCCTCCCTACAGTAGTCTTTCTCTGTTAGCTTGTTGCTTGTCATTATATTGTATTCCCAGCTCTCAGAGAAGGGAGAACATGGCGGAATGTAGTGACAGAGATTCGGAGATATTTCAGCCTTCTAAGAAGACCAAGTCTGACGTTTGGTCATGTTTTGGGTTTTATAAGGATGCAGAAGGAAAGTTAATTGTAGATGACCACACTGTCTGCAGAACAGGCCGAAAGAAAATAGCGGCGAAAGGGGGCAACAAATCAAACCTCATTCATCTTCGCGACCACCACCCGCTACTTTTTAGAGAATGCAAGGTTAACTTTAACGTAGAAGTCTGTGGGGACTTCGAAATAGAACAAATGTCACGGTTTGTGTGGTTTAACTTATGCTTATGGTTCGTTAATAATATAAAATGAAGCTTTTAGCGTCAAAAAAAAAAAGAAAAAAAAATCTGTGAATCAGCTGTGAACCGAAACTAAAGCTTTTAACACATTTCTGTGGAGCAGAGTCTCCAAAATGAGCTCTGAGTTAAGTCACACAAGCTCCAGAACGAGACGCTGCAGAAGTTCAATCTGCACAGCTCCCCTTTCTCGTCTCGTTTACATTGTTTACTTTCTGAGTAGAGAATAACACCGTCTCAAATCACTCAATGTCCCCTACATAGTGCACTACTTTTCAAACAAACACGATCATCATTAACAAGCAGTTGAGTTTTAAATAGGGAGTTTGTAACCTGTTGTTAATGTTGATTATAGATGACTTAGTCGAACATTTCTTGCACTCTTTGGATGAAGGATTTGCTATTTCATGATCCACAAAGTGCACTACATAGGGAAGATAGTGTGCTTTGAGACAGGACCTTGCGAGAGTAAACACTCTGCTGCTTTTAGGAAAAGCAGAGTTTCAGAGGTTAAACTTTAGGAGTGTTTCTGCCGCAATGCTTTTAGAGAAGCAGCTCCACAGGTGAAGACACACTGTGTGAGTTCTACACTGTCTGCAGCTCACAGCGCGGTCACGCAATTCCTCTGTGATTTTGGCTGTTTTTCCTGGTGCACTGTATTGATTAGGGGTTCAGCGCCACAACGTCACAATAATGCTGCAGTTGCAGTTCGGACAGAAATCCCCCGAGTGCAGCACTTCTTAGAAGTAGTAATTTTCCATTAAGACCCACCTCAGAGTTGGTCGAGATTTAATTCTCTATGCAGGGAGACCCCTAGTTATTGTAATTGAATAATAATAATAATAATAATAATAATAATAACAGTAATAGTAATAATAATTAGTAATAATAATAACAGTAATAACAATAATACATTTGCTATTCTTTTGCTTATTCTTTTTTATGCAAACAAAAAGGGAATATTGCTGCCAATTCTATTTGTGTTAATATAAAAGTTGGTAAAACAGGTTTCAGTTTGGGGATCAGTATTTATTTATTTATTTATTTATTTTACTTTTCAACACATTTGAACAATATCGCGATAATACCGATAATCGTGATAATTTTGGTCATGATAATCGTGATATGAAATTTTAATATTGTTTCATCTCTAGAATGCACCCAACTGATGGTGTAGGTGTGGACTCTACATCTCTATACTTGTTTAGAATTGATACTACATGATTCAGTTGAAAGGCTAGACAAATGCAGATTGCTAATTCTGTCCTTTGGATTTACTGAATACAGACTTGTTCGAATAAAGCAATGTCATACTTTTTATTAATCTGTGTCAATTGTGGCTGTTCGCTTTCTTAGGTAATTACTGCACCATGTGCTTCAAATGCTATGAGGATAATGACTATGAAAGCCAAATGATGCAGTGTTCCACATGTAACCACTGGGTCCATGCCAAGTGTGAGGGACTGACAGGTGAGTGTGCTTAATTAAAGCCATTACTCATAATTGAGGTGACGTGTTAAAAGTGTAAATTGAGTTACTGTGGCCTTACCTCTTACTTATTTACATGTAATTGTGATAATTGAAAATTGATTTGTGTTGTAGTAGTTTTGCGAGCCCCTAATCTTAACCTGTTATCTAAACCACAAAAAAATTTCAGTAACACTTCACTGAAGGGCAGCATTCATAATATTCACAGCGTTCAATCTAAGGTTTTAATAACTGGTATAAACTTATATAAACATGGCTACTTTGTCAATTTTCATGTAATTTTACTTCATAATTTTTTTTTTTATGACTGATGCCCACCTACATTTGTTAGTTGTCATGAATGGTTCATCTAGGTTTCATGCAGTGTTATAAATATCGACCTTCAGTTTCGCGCTAGTAAAATGTCTCGTGCTATCTGATTGGTGTGCATACCTGAGGATGTGATATCATGCTTTTAACTATGAGCCTTTAAAATTGTGTTTTTTTTCTCTTTTTTGAATGATTGATTATTTGAAAATGTTAACCATCTGTCTCAGAGTTTGTTTATGCTACGGTCTGGACTCCATTTTATACACACGTTCATGCACGCACGCACACATGCACGCAAACAAATCATTAGCACCAATTAGTAATTAAAACTAAGGCTTCACAGACGTTTTACTGACCTCAACCTCAGTTTCCTGTTTCACCCACTCTGGTGTGTACATATTAATGATGAGTGGTTTCCGAGCATGAGCTGCTTGTTTAAGGTCTTGCCTCAGCATCTTGCTTGTGTGCTTCAGATCATTGCTCTGCTGCATAACCCAACTGCTCTTCACTTAAGGTCACAAACTGACGGGCAGACATTCTTCTTCAGGATTTTATGATAGAGAGCAGAATTCATGGATCCATCAGTTATGACAAGTCGTGCAGGTCCTGCAGAATCAAAGCAGCCCCAGACCATCACACTACCACCACCATGTTTGACTGTTGCATGATGTTCTTATGGTGGAATGTGGCGCTAGCTTTGTGCCAGATGTAACTGGACCATGGTCTTCCAGAAAGTTCCACCTTTGACTCATCATTCCACAAAATATTACCCCAAAAGTCTTGGTATCTAGATGTTGGTCGGGGTATCTAGATGTTCTCTAGAAAATGTAAGACGAGCCTTTGTGTTCTTTGTGGTCAGCAGTGTTTTGCGCCTTGCAACTCTCCCATGGATGGCATTTTTGCCCAGTGTCTTTTTTTCTTGTGTAATTGTGTACATTGACCCTAACTGAGACAAGTGAGGCTTGCGGTTCTTTATATGTTTGTCTGGGTTCTTTTGTGAAATCCTGGATGAGTGGTTGATGCACTCTTGGTGAAATTTTGGTAGGCTGGCCACTCCTGGAAAAGTTCACCACTGTTGCCGTTTTCTCTATCTGTGGATAATGGCTCTTCCTGTGGTTCGTTTTTTTCTCCAATGAAAATAACTGAAAACATCATTTAAAAACAGCATTTTGAGTTTACTTGGGTTATCTTTGTCTAATATAAAAAGTAGTTTGATCGTCTGACACATTCAGGTGTGACAAAGAAATTGGGAAGGGGGCAAATACTTTTTCACAGCCCCGTACCTTTCTACCTGGATATGTTCATCTTTGCTTTCTATCGTCTCTCTGCAGATGATTTATATGAGATCCTGTCCAGTTTGCCAGAGAGCGTGGTGTACTCGTGCCAGCCCTGCACTCAAGCACAGCCTGGTGGGGTGCAGGAGAGTGAGTCTGCAGGAGGCTGGAGGGAGCTGCTGATGCTGGAGCTCAGGGCTGGGGTGGAGAAGGTGCTCGCCTGCCTTCTCAGCTCCACTCTCACTCAGCATCTCGTGACCTGCAAGGAGGTGGGCTCAGATCCCTCATAGACTTACTACTTTTCATGGAGGGAATCAGTAGGGGCCAAACTGTATGATGCTGTTGCATAAGATTTGTAATTTGCTCAATATGTAGGACAATTTATTACTTTAAATTACTTGCAGTTTGTTTTATTTAACATAAAGTACACTTCATCTTACATTGCATTGATGACGCAAAGCATAATTCTGAGACAAAGCATCAGAAACACCCTCTACATTAACATGTTTAGCAGCCTTTTGTCCAGCGCAGTTTACCGTGGTGACGGAATGTAGCCTCTTGGGAGTCTTGTCGAAGGACTCCTGTTGTAGCACTGGTGTTCCTGTGTGGATGGGGAATCAAACCCTGGTCTATCATGTGGCTCCATGGTATTAATGCCTCTTGGTGTATAGATTTTTGACTTATTTCTGAACCCAATTACATTTTGTAAGACTCTGCATTCAGTAGCCTTAAGGATCAGTGCATTGTCAGGGTTCTTGCTGATCCTTAGCAAGTCTTCTAAAGCCTTAAAATGCATTAACAATAGGCCATAAAATGTAAGTAATGTTTGACATTTTAAGGTCATAAAATGTCTTAAAATGTCTGTTTTTTTACTACAGGTATCAAATATCAAGTTCTAAGAGCATGCCTAAAGACTGGGTTGAAGAATGAATAAATGAAGTAGACATTGATACATATGAGTTTGTGTGTGTAGTTATTCAGTAAAAATGGCATTGTTTTTAGTTTGGTTGAGGTCTTAAAAAGGTGTTAAAATGCAGTGAATTAAGTTTTTTAAAATTGGGCAGCAACCTTGATTATGCCAGGCAACGATTCTTTGCAGACACCCAGGCTGCTGTGTATTTTTTATCATTTACACTCATTCAATCATCTCTCCTTTGTCTTTTCTTAGTGTACAACTCTGGATGACCCTGAAGATGGAGATGATGATGATGATGATGATAATGATGATGTTTTGCCTGTATGTGATTTTCGTGCTGTGGGCAAAAAGTTTGATAAAGGACTTTACACAACACTGGTGTGTGTTTAAAGTTTTTTTTTTTTTTACTTCAGAATTCTTGTTTCAATGTCAGTATGATTTATTTATTTATTTATTTATTTATATCTTTGATGAAAGACCTTGTATTGATAAGAAATAAGCATGGTTTTCAGATGTGTCCTGTTCTTGATAAGAAAAAAAAAATGTTTGGTTATAATTTGCTGTGCAGAAATCTTTCCATGAAGATGTGGTAGGAGTCATTCGCAGAAAGCTCGAAGAGGAGGAGGCATTACCAGAAGACCAAAGGCCCACTGCTCTTGCTCGATCTTACTATTTGAAGGTCAGATTTTAATGTCACACTAGTCACCCAAAACCCTACACTTAACCACATAGTTAGAGTGTGGATCCAGCTCCCTAAAGTTAACTGTTTTAATGGGCCCGGAAAGCTGTAAACAAATAAAGATATGGTCTTTACAATAATTAAACCATAATTTTGCTGCTTGGTCTAGTACACTTGGAGACAGTTTGGACAGTTTTTTCCAGCCCTGATGAAAAGTAGGAATTTCTTGGTCAGCGTTTAGTGAAAATTAAATAAAGTGATGATATCTGGTGAGATTCCTTGGGATTCCCAGGGATTTTCTGGTGGTCTGGGTATTTTTCCAGATGCTCCATTCAACAGCTAACATACTTCCTGTTGTTATCCTTTTAATTTTACTATTTAGCTGATGGAGGAGGTTTTCAGTTGGTTCAACAGTCAGGACCCTAAAGTGTGGGATCCACGCTCCAAACACCTTCCTACGTAAGTTTCTTTACTAAAACATTTTTAAGCCTGTTCTTTCCTCACCAGGTTGATAGAAATATGCCTAGAGCTTTAGGTAATCCAATCTCTTGAGAAGAATGGTCACCAATGCGGCTCCTGGAGATCTGCCTCTTTGCAGGTTTCACCTCCTACTTAATCAATGAGGACCTCAGAAGGCTATAACTTTATGGTTCATAATTTTATGGCTCAGACAATTTTATGGCGCCAGTCAGTTGCTAGGCGGTAGGTCTCTAGGACCCGGTTAGTGACCACAGATTTAAAGTGATGACTGTGTGTGCAGCATTTTGTTCAATGCTACAAACAAATTTTTCGATGCCCACATTTCACAGAGTTTTGGTGATATTAGAAGAAAACATGTAAACACATAAATATCAAGTTACTTTATATATATATATATATATATATATATATATATATATATATATATATATATATATATATATATATATATATAATTTTATTTTTTTTCCTCTCCCCTCCACATTTAATTCTAGTGGAATGCTTTTACATGCTGTTCTACCGCCGACAAATGAGCATGTATATGCACAGTGGAGGGAGCGAGATGAAAAGAGCCACACTGTAAACAGAACCAGGCAAGCAGTAGCAGGGCACTTGGAGGTCAAAGGGGAGGATGGGTCTGATCACTCTACCCCTTTTTACCACAAGTCTGTCAACAGCCCATACAGGCACTTGATGAGCTTAAGGCATGGGATGAAAGGTATTTGCACATTATTATTAAATAACAATATAAATATGTTTGTTTATTCATTGAAGTTTAACATATTTGCGAAAAAACATCATCTACTAAATATTTATTTTTGGTGGTGTGCCACAGGAAAGAAAGGACACCCATCTAGATCGGACCTGGACACTGGGTGGTCAAAAGAGGATAAGCGGCAGTGTGCCTTGTGCCAGAAGTATGGTGATGCAAAATCCAGTGTAAGCGCAAGTATCACAATAACAATCATAATCAAAGACCAGTCCTTTCCAACTAAGTATGCTTGTAAAGGATTATATCCTATCCATAAGCATCACTCATGAATAATCTAGCAGTTCTGTGAGTGAACATGAACAAGCATTCCTTCAGTGATCAAATCAAGACTGAATTAATGTACAATATCTTGTTACCCTGAAATGCTCTTGCATCTTTGTGCTTTTTACTGTCACTTTAGAGTCTCTTGTACAATTTGTGTGAAAAATTAGATACCAGGATAACTTTTCATTCTTGCGCTTCTTTACCTCTCCAGGATGCTGGTCGTCTACTTTATCTTGGCCAAAATGAATGGGCTCATGTCAACTGTTCAATGTGGTCAGCAGAGGTGTTTGAGGAGGATAATGGCTGCCTGATGCATGTGCATAGTGCAGTTGCCAGAGGTCGCCTTATGGTAAGCCTGTACAACCGATATTATTGGTTGTAATGCCAAAAACTAATATGAAAGAAAGGAAAATATCAAAAAAGTGATATGTATGAAATTGAGTAGATTGGTCCAGGATAGACTGTAGAACTTCCATACCAATAGGCAACTGTACAAACAAGTATACAGGACTTTTATGTAAACCGATACAGTGACAGTACTATCATTGCAAGATAGAGTGACATTGTGACTATGTATGTGGCACTCTTTGTCTCAGATCCTGTTTTAGATAATTTTGCCCATTTCTCTCAAACTTGTACTGTTCTACAGCGTTGTGAACGATGTAACCAAACTGGGGCAACGGTGGGTTGCTGCCTTACTTCATGCCAGAGCAACTACCACTTCATGTGCGCCCGTTCCCGCAACTGTGTCTTCCAGGATGACAAAAGAGTTTTCTGCTATAAGCATCGTGACCTCATCAGTGGACAAGTAATGTTGCAGAGTCAAATTGAGTTTGTTTCGATTATCCATGTACAAACCATATGGACAGTTGTGAATATGCCCTGCTTTCTTGAATTTTCAGATTATCACTGGACAAGGATTTGAAGTTCTTCGGAGGGTCTATGTGGACTTTGAGGGGATCAGCCTTCGCAGGAAGTTTTTGACAGGATTAGAACCGGAAAGCATTAATATGTTGATTGGTAAGCACCTCAAGGCCAGTAAGTGATAATCTGACAAATTCTGATTAATTTTGTTCTTGGATGTCCTTTCATTTTATTTTTTTCCACAATTTAGGTTCTCTTCAGGTCAGCAAACTTGGCAAGCTAAACGAACTGTCTGCTAGCCAAGGGAAACTCTTCCCAGTGGGTTATGAGTAAGTAATATTTAAATTTAGTTGATTTAATATTTTTTGGCCCAAACCTGTAGTTTCAGTTGGCCAGCAGAAATTTGTCAGACTTAAGTTAAACCAGTAAAAATAATATATTCTGCCTTTCGTTGACATTAAAGTTTTTCTTGTATACAAATTTTTCTGTGGCTTTGTAGATTGAAGTATGCTCTGCTAAGTTTTTTGTAATCGTTTGTCAGAGAATGGTGCACCCCTATGTATTTTCCACTTTGTAGCCTTTAAAATATGGATACAACATAGAAAATCACTTTTAGGACTGCTGTTTGGAATAGTGGGTGCATGTACAGTTGATTGCAACAGTGTCCCAGAGACAACAATGGAGATTTTCACCTGGTTTATGTAACCTAATTATTATTATGTTATTAGATGCTCCCGCTGGTACTGGAGCACAGTAAACCCAAGTCAGCGCTGCAAGTATACATGTAGGGTCATGGAGGTACGAGCACCTGTTCAGGAGAAGCCAGTGGAAGAACTGCCTGACCAGGGAGACAATCGCACAATTGCCCACAGCCCATGTGTCCAATCAGGTTGGTGCTGTTTAATCTATTAAACTGCGTTTTTTTATGCTGTGATTTTTATATTTCAATCTCTTATTTTTATGCTTATATTTTAAACTTGTATTTTTATGCTTGTCATTAGAATCTGCAACTACAGTGGGGGATGTGATACCAGCAAATCCCAGTTCAGAATCCTCCTTTGCTAAGCCAGACCTCGGCACTCGACCCAAAATATCTGTCTACCCTCAGAATAGGAGACCAGCGGGAGGCCTGTCTAGACCTCTACCATCTCCAGGTACCATAGGCAGCTTATGTTTAATTTAGACTGATCACTGTAACTTATTATTTTGGCTCTGCATTCCAGTTGTTACTAACTAAAGATGGTATTTCAAATTTGCTTATTTTTTCAAATTACATATGAGAAAAAGGCCTGTGATTCCTATACAGTTTACCCCAAAAAGGCACAGAGCCGATGCACAGAGCCAAAACAACAAAAATGATCATCCAATCTATACAGGCTGTAAACTGCGCTCACCTTCTTTTGTTGTATTTGTTTGTCTGAAATTGTCTGAAGTTTCATGAGTTTCCTCTTATGTTTTTAGGAACAGTTCCATCCAAGTCCCATCATATTTTGACTATTCGTGATTTAGATGACACTTGCAGACCACGACGGCACAGCCCACACTCTCAAAATACTGGGATCCGTGGACATATAACATGTCCTACCTTGGGATCTTCCACTGGCTCAGTTAGCCTTCGAGCTGGGGGTTCCCACCACTCTAAAGCCACCCAGCCTACCTCCCCAGGTTTCCCCCTTGGTGCTACTGAAAACCTGTTAACCTCTTCATCAGCCCGCCCTGTGGGTCGAAGTGCTTCCTCTGCCAGGGGTTCTGGAATATTGGCACCCCATTCTACCTCAGGACTGTTTTCACAGCCCACATGGCAAGGTGGCATTGGCAGCACCCCTTCCTCTAATCGCTCTCTTTCCTCCCCCACCCACTTATCTACAAGACCAAGGCTGCCTTTTGATCTTAATCAGTTAGACTCTGCAGAACTGCCACATAATTTCTTGGCATCACCACAAGAACTGCCTGCAGAAAATGGAACTTCACCTTTAAGAGACACTGTGGATCCACCAAAGGGTAGTCAACTAGTCACTGATAAGGAATTCTCTTATACACCCTTCCACTTAGACTCGGACCTGAGTGTTGTATCAGAGCTTAAAAATGAACTTGAGATTGAGGAAACAGTACTAAATGAGGGAGTGGCCATGAACTGCAGTGAACAGATTGTTGTTGAAGGTGAAGAGAACCAAGAGGAGTTTTGGGACCGAGAGGCAGACGAGATCAAGGCAAAGGTATCTTCCCGAAGATTACCTCATGCTATAGAAACCCATACAGAGGACTGGGACAATAGTTCTTCTGATGAGGATATGGGAAACTATTTCAATTTTTCCCGTACTACAGTTACTTGCAAGACTTCAAGAGATACATCAAAGACACCTGCTTCTTCTGCTGCAAGATCAATTTCACAACTAGACGGTGTAGATGATGGGACAGAGAGTGATGCCAGTGTCACCAGCAGTAATACCCAGAACCTAAAGAACCCAAGTCAGGTTCAGAAACCATCCCAGTCTATTGATGTTCAGCATAATAAACAGTGGAACAGTAATGGGCTATGTGTGGACCTACCAAGTCCTGTCTTTGATTCATCATCCATTAGCAGTCAGCTGCAACCTGCAGCCAAACCTTTTGGTTCGTTGTCTTTGGTTGGTACTGGTCATCAGAAGTCCCCTAGTGAAACCCAACCCAAGGGGGCTGCTGAAGTAAAAGTATCCAAATCTTCCCCAAATTGCACAAAATCTGGGCTCCAGGACACATGCCCAAATACTGGCTTCCTTGGTCAGACATTTCAGTCGGTTTCCTTGTCACCCTCTCAAGAGACTTTGTCAAATTTTGTTGTGCCAAAAGAGACAGACACCACATTTTCTGCTTTTGTTGATGACTTCCAAGCTCCTGGTTTAATTACAGATACGGGAATACCCGTAGTTTTGGAAAAATGTGACCCTCCCTCACCCAGTGCCTGCTTTACTGAACTGGTCCCAGTTCAGGAAGATACTCCGATTGACACACAAGGATCCGTAGAGTTGAAGGAAATGTACTTGGATCATAACAGTGGGCACTTTGTTTCCTCTACAGATGGCTCCATGATTTTCTCAAATAATGTTTCAGAGGCCACACCGCAACCCTCTGTCAAACAGCCTGTAAAGGGAAGACAAGATAAAGTGCCGAAAGCAGTGCAGCCAAATTCTTCATCTACAGAAACAGCCAGTTCTGCATCCTTAGTTCAGTCTCTACAGTCCAGTTCCTCTTTACAGCCTCCTTTTGTGTCATTTTCAAATTCTGCACATTCTTCAAATGTCCCTTTATACCCTGTCCAAACCCCTGAGGGAAAGACAGTTCTCCCACCAATGGAGAGTTTTAGAACAAAACTACTGTCACCTTCAGACACAAGTCAACATGCTCTGTCAGTACCTAGTGGAGCAATGCCTTATGTGTCTACAGATTTGCCTCCCAAGCCAGAGTCAGTGCTTGCTGCACCGTCAGGCACTGGTGTGCCTCTTGCATCTCTTGGGCCAGTTTTAGGACCAGTATCCACTCCTGTGTACACCACTTACACTCAACCTGTGGGTTCAGCAACAGTCAGTATAGTCCCTGCTGCAATCTCCCAGCCGTCTGGTCAGTGCCAGCCAATGCCCTCCATTATTCAACCAGCCCCTGGCCCTGTTGTTGTTAATGGCTATAGCTCCATGCCTATGCAAAGGGAAGCTGCCTCAGGACGTACAATTTCCATAAACTTTTCAACTCCAAGGCAAACATTGGAGCCTCAACAACCAGTGACCCAAGCATTACCTGGCCATGCAATTCTCACTGTGAAGGAGGTTGGTGGACCTAACGTGGATCCTACCCCTCATGTTTTACTTGTTAATCGCCTTGGCCAAATTTTTGTCAAGAATCCTGAAAGCAACACCTTCCAGCTGCCCAGTCCTAACTCACCCTCCTACAACTGCGTTACACAAATTGCCAGCCTATTGCAAAGCAATGCTCTGTCTGCTACTTTGGCAGCAGCAGGCAACTTGTCTGCAGTTGCCGGAGCAGCTATACCAGCCCAAGTCCCAAGAATGGTGACGCCTGTGATTCCAAACTCTGATACCATTACCCAGCTCCTCACTGCTAATAGCAATGGAACAGCAGCACCACAGGAAGTAAAGATGTCGAAGCAAAATGCATCTGGTGGAAATGTTCCAGAAAAAAAGAAGCCACAGAAAAAGAGAGAACCCCCAACATCTCGGAAGATCAAGTCAGCTGCAACGCCTGGTTCAACTAGCAAGGCAGCAGACAATAATGCAGACAGTGCTCAAGCCATTATCAACCAAGCTATGGCCAGCTATTATGACCCCAATCGAAATGGTGCCCGAATCCTGAGTCCATCCTCACCCCGCAATCCCAGTGTCGGAGGCAGAGCTCAATCACTGAGTTCAGTAGTCCTTCCCCCAGGCCTCCTTGTCGAACCAGAGTCCACGTCCTCTTCACCAGCTACCCCACACTCTGCATCTTCTCGGCCAAAGCAGGTTCGAATGAAGAGAGTATCCTCACTCTCTGACCGCATTGCCACGAAGAAATCGAAGTCTGACTTTTTAGAGCCTGAGATGCCTAGTGGGTCGGAAGACCAACGCAAATTAAGTTCAACTGCTAGGTAAGAATAAGATTTTGTGGAAGAAAAAAATAAATATGGTATTGTTTTACAGTGTTTGGCTATGAGCAAAATGGGTCCATAGTCTTAACTATAGAATTAATTGCAGCCTGGTGGAGTTTTGGTCAACTTTTGTAGTTTACGAAACCATTATATATTTTGGAAGTAAAAACACAGTATGTATGATACACAGTATGTATCATCTGGAGCTTATAGCCCAAAACTCCACTGCTTTTCAGTTTCAGGATAGACTGAGATCTCTCTTAAACTATAGGTCCTTTGTTGAGTTGTTGCCAACCAAAGTGCATTTAATTTACTTATCAAATTTGATCCAGTTTTAAGTAACTAGAGCATGTATTGCACCTTCACAGTGCTGCGTGGAATTTCACAGACCATGCATCTTGATGGGAAAAACCAACTGTTCCAAACATGTTATTATTTTTCAGAATTCCAAAATATTCAGCTACAAATGGTTCAAAATAACACATTTGTTGCAGTGCACTGTAAAAGCTGCTGTGGAAGCATCCTTCAAAGTTTTTAAGGTTGTGTGATTTTGCATTTTTTAAGCAGCAGTGTGTTCAGTGGTTTGTTTTTTTCCGCTTTCTGTAGCAGGTGTGGGGGAGTTCGCATCAAAACGCCAACTGTCAAAGGGGTCCTTGACCTGGACAAGATCAATGATGAGCGTAGTAGTGATTCTGAGAGTGCCAAGTACGCCAATGTTTTTGTAGTTTTTGTTGTTTTGTACCTGTCCATTTTGTAGCAGTACCTAAACAAAAATAATAATAGCAGTACTGACTCTCATTTTTATCCATTGTGGCTAATATTTCATGTATATGTGTGTTTGTTTTTCTGATATTTTTGAGATAATTTTGCTCTTTGTTTGCTGAAGGCCAGGTCTCTGGGATCGTTTCTCAGTGTCCCGAGGTGGCGACAGTAGTAAACCACAGGCCTGGGACACCACAGGACGTAGCGCACTGTCTGACTGGAACAAATACTCAGGTATATATATCTACTCACATCCTCCTGAACTCTTCCCACTAGCATGTTTATGCTTTTGAAACTGTGTTTTGCCATTTTGCAGTGAAGTCATATATAAGTAAAATCAATGACTGTCTCCTTTGTGTATCAGGGATGATGTCGTGCTCAGATGAAGAGATGCCTCCCTCAGACAGTGAAGACCAGTTCCCTCCTAGAGGAGACCACCCACATCTACGCTTTGAGATCACCAGTGATGATGGTTTTAGTGTGGAGGCAGATAGCATTGAGGGTAATTTGCTGTTTTTGTGACCTTTAATTTCATGTTTTTGTTTCCTTTGTTTTTCATGTGAAAATGAGCAAAATACTTTTAGAACATCTATTATTTTCATAAAACAACTGCAACAAATTACAAAACAGGGCAATATTTCACATACACAATACAAATTAATAAGTTGATGACTCATTTCACATTTGTCGTTTTCCTTTAGATGGAGTCATTTTCATGGGCTGTTTTTCAGTCTGAGTCAAAAATTTCTTCTTAGTACAGCCTTCAGTTTTCCCATGAACTGAAGCTGATTTCTAATTAATGCTCTTGCTCTCATGTTTTCACTCTCCCACCCCTTGCTGTCTCCCTTCTTCACTTCTTTTCAAACATGCACAGTTGCCTGGAAAGCTGTCATTGATGGGGTACAAGAGGCTCGTGCTGCTGCCAAGCTGAGACAGCTGTCCTTCACTGGGATGAATGGTGCTCGTGTGATGGGCTTGTTGCATGATGCTGTGGTTTACCTGGTGGAACAGCTCCAAGGGGCCAAGTCTTGCTATCGTCACACTTTCCGCTTCCATAAACAAGCTAGCCAGGAAGAAGACCTACCCATCAACCCCAGCGGTTGTGCTCGCTCTGAGGTCTATCTGAGGTAAGAGCAGCTGTGGGATTGAAGCAAGCATTAAAAAAGCAGCAAAGTTAAGAGCTAAGTGGGAGCAACATAATACTACCTAGTGACATCTCAACATACCACTGCCCTTATAGCTCACACCTGATCATATCTCACATCCTTCTATTGTTTGTCTGCTTTTCTAATGTCACAGGAAGTCTACTTTCGACATGTTCAACTTCTTGGCATCACAGCACAGACAGCTTCCTGATGCTGACCTGTATGATGAAGAGGAGGATGAAGTTCTTCTCAAATCAAGCAGGTTAGTATGAAGTCTTTTTTGTAATTCCACCCATAATTTCCTATAAGGAGTACTCCATTTAAGTGAGCAAATTAGACTAAGTATCTGGTGATCATTTTAAGGCTGAATATTTTTTACATTAAGGATGCCACAACCATAAAAAATGTAGCATGTGAGCATTAATCAAAACATTTATCCACTACAAATGGTATCTGGAAATTAAGCTGCAAAACAGCCCGTTTTGAATTCAGTGTTTTCGAAATGTCACTTTTGAATACATTTAAATATATTTGCCTATTCAGCCTAGACCACTTGAGGTCAGAGGTTGTTTACCTACCAATCCCAAAGGCACAGTAACAAAAACTGCATGTTTAATTCTTGGGTAAAATGTTCATGTAAATATGATTGTGTGGGTTTATGTACCATCAAATCACTGTAGGTGGACATTTGCCATTTCTGCTTTGGGCTTTAAACTAAGTTGTAAGAACCAAGGCTTTTCCTTGTTCAACACAGTATGTGTTGTTGGACCTAAAGACTAATACAGATTCATATATTGTTACTAAAATGTTTTTTTTTCCTTTCCTCTTCTCTTTGTGATACTCGCACGGCTGTGGAATAATAATTTATGGTCTTAGAATTATTCAGGCCCAGACTGATTTTAATAGTGAAAACAAATAGACATAGTTCTGTCATGTGCCAACAGACGAGCAACAAGTTTGGAACTTCCCATGGCCATGCGCTTCAGACATCTAGAAAGGACATCTAAAGAAGCTGTTGGTGTTTACAGGTGGGTTAGAAGCTATTCATTGGAATTTTAGCAGAAACCTGGTCACAGTTTCAGTTCTTCAAACCACATTAAAGAGGAAGTGCTTGTCACCATCAGCAAATTTATAAAAATAGGAAGGTAGCTGATATTTAGAATAGAAATAGTATGCTATTTTAGTGGTGTTAGAAAATAAAAATTCAAAGAAGGAACTTACCAGTTGTAGTGTAGTATATTATAATTTATATATACATATTAGTGGTATCACAAAATAATTCAAACTAAACTTGGAGTGTCTAGTCATGCTGTCATCGTCAGGTGATTGTGGGTTTCTGTCTGACGTATTCAAGGGAACATTGTTATGGTGATTCTGTTAAACAAAGAATAGCAATACTTCAGTAGATTTTCTCATGTATGTAGACAAAATTACTACTAGTAACAATAATTAAGATATTAAGGTATCTTTTACAGGTATGTCCATGTAAATGCTAAGTGTACTTACTGCAAACATGGAATGTTGTCAGTGCTTTAGCTTGATAGCATTGCCATTAGTATTCAGGGGACATGATGTCTTTCCACTGTTTCAGGTCCGCCATTCATGGACGAGGGCTGTTCTGCAAGAGAAACATTGAGGCAGGGGAAATGGTTATTGAGTACTCCGGCATCGTCATTCGCTCCGTTCTCACAGACAAACGCGAGAAGTACTACGATGGGAAGGTGAGAGAAACAATGCTGTTGTCAGTTCAGACAGAAGCTCCAAAAACCAAGCAGGTGTAGCAAAGCAGCACATAAGTGTCTTCAATCTGTAAATCATTTTTGTCAGTATTAGCTCTCTGTCACGTGGATGCTTCTCTACGTGTATTTAAACTTGATCCAGATTGGATCTGTTTTGTTTTTTTTTTTTTGTTATTTTATTTTTTTTATTTCCAGTATGACTGGTCCTCATTCTTCCACTCATTGTTCAACAGGGCATTGGCTGCTACATGTTTCGCATTGATGACTTTGATGTAGTGGATGCGACCATGCACGGCAATGCGGCGCGATTCATCAACCACTCCTGTGAACCCAACTGTTACTCGCGGGTCATCAATGTGGAGGGCCAGAAGCACATTGTCATATTTGCTTTGAGGAAGATTTACCGTGGAGAAGAGCTCACCTATGACTACAAATTTCCCATTGAGGATGCCAGCAACAAGCTCAGCTGCAACTGTGGAGCCAGGCGCTGCCGCCGCTTCTTAAACTGAGAGGAAAGTAGAGAAGATCCTAAAGACGAGCTGGAATGAGCTCCGAAATTAGCGGACGCAGCAAACGGGCAATAAAAGACAGTCGCATGGGGAAAGCACTGAGAAGGGCAGTAGGAGGTCAAAAGGACTGACTTTTAAGCTAGGGTCTTATTGAGTTGGGCTTAAGCCATAGGAATTTCCCTCAAAGAGATCCAGAGATGGTCATGAGGATGTGCAAGCACTCCAGCAGAAAAGGAAGGCTCATAGCAACCAGCTGTTCACCCACAGTACTGCATGCACAATATTCCGGTACACATATGTGTGATCTCTTGAGAGCGTATTGGAGAATAGATGGAGTTAAGCCAGTAGGGAAACACTTAAAAATGTGTTCAGTTTCTGAGAGAACAGGAAGTCCTGTGCATTTATGGCGTTAAGTTCTTCAAAAGGCAAAGTCATCGTGGCTTCTGTTTCCTACCCGCTAACATGTATTTCAGGTCAAATCAACAGTGATGAAAATGCTTATTCCTCCTTCTGCTAATTCTACATAAAAACTACTCACTTTGGGGTTCTGCAACAGAACTAGAACTAGACAGCGACGAGTTATCACTAAAAGCTGAGATCACACTTAGTAAATAGTCTGTTCAAGTGCTGTTTTCAAAAGCTGTTTAAAGCACTCCTTCTGCCACCCATAGTCTCTTTAAACCTTTAAAACTCCTGCTCCTGCACTGAAGATGGTGTGCAGATAGATGTACATGAGTTTTGTGGCCGTGAGAATATTCTATAACTGAATGAAATATGTGACTAATCGAGAGACAAATATATATAAATATATATTAAAAAAAAATATATATATATATATATATGTATATGTATATGTGTATGTGTATATATATATATATATATATATATATATATATGTATATGTGTGTACTTTTAACTGAAATGTTTATGATGCTCATGCTCAAAACTAGTATAGGTCTTAGTCAGAATTAATGTTGAGGACAGGAAAAGGCTTTATATGCTCAGGAAGATGCTGTGAACCCCTGCAATATATACCATGGTGATTCATTCCATTCGTTAAGCATTCAGTAAAACATTTTCCATAGAACTTCTCAAACAGACCAGTCTGATTCAGTCTTTTAAGCTTTTAAGGTCTATTTGAGAAACCACTGATGTAATTTCTCGTTTTCTAAAAAAAGGCTTCCTTCCTGTGTGTTTTATTTATTCCGTTACCTTGGTTTCGGACTACAGCTGAGCTTTTTATCTTGCATCTGTCTCCCTCCCTGGGGTCCTGCTGTTCCGTTGTGTTAGGAAACTGTTTTTGTCCATTACCCTTTTTTGTCCATCTTCATGGTGCTAGATTTAATGAAAGTCTTGAAACTAAGAGGGAAATCGTACATTACATTAATCATTTTCATTCCTCACAGTGTAAGACTCTTAGACTATTTGTGAATTACTTGACAGTTAATGAGTAACGGTATAATTTCTGCAGAAGCAAAATCAGGTATGGTGAAAAAATATATAAACCTTTATTTTCTGCTATAGCTTCACACTACTTGAGCTAACTGAGGAAATACACTTTGCATCTGTGCTTTCCCAGGTATTTTTGACAGGCTGTTTTGTCAGTTCCTCATAGTTTCCGTGCCACGGTTGTATGCACTGTTTCTCATCTCTTACAATTGCATCAAGAAAATCTCTTCTGACTGTGGGTCTCCTGAGGCAGTGTTTGTTGCTAGGCCAGATTCTGTTAACTGCATTATTCTGTGCAGTGCTCAACAATGTTTAAATCTAGAAGAACCTGTGTCTTTTAGCTAACAGCCACCTAGCACTCAGCACCTTGATGTCCCTTTATTTACGGACTTCTGAATCTCTTCATCATGAAAACAGATAAACTGATGCCATCGTTTGTCTTAGAACTGATGAGATTTGATCAAGCTTCGTGGTCGTCCTATTTATTCCTGTTCACGTCCGTTAGATCATGGGAGTATGCATGCTCTCTGTGTGGCCAGGGTCTAGCCAGATCTCTCTTTTGTTTATGTATTTTCTTTTCCCCTTTGTCTTTTTGACTTGAACATTCTTTGAGGATGAGTTCTTGCAGTGCAGCCTTTTTAAGGTGACGTTTTGAGCCGGATGTCCTTCTTTTTATTAACAGTATGATTTTTAATTCTTCTTTTAACTTGTAAACTGTGGCCACATGCTTTGGTTAACTGAGAACTTGTACTCATTTTTCCTGACTTTTGACAAAGCTTCCAGTCTTTTGGAAAGGAATGGCAACAAAGAGAAAGTTCTGCACCTCGCCCTTTCAGCCAATACAGTGCGGTCAGTCCCCTGCCTCGTCTGCCCCCTTCTCCTTTTTGGGCGTCTTCATCATCAAAGTTGGTCCACAAAGGATTTGACCTAGATTTTTCTTCTTTGTTTCGTTTCGTTTCGTTTCACCCCCCCCTCATCCCCCCTCCCCAACTGAACTTGCAAGGATTCTACCTCAGGCTGTTCAGAATGACTTTCAAAGAATACTAATGCAAAATGTAGAAGAGAATACAATATTGCTTGGTCTTAAATGTCCTGCAGAGTTGACCTGTGTGCAATGAAGGATGCAAAGCACTAGTCAAGACTTTCTGTGACGATCTGTCTCCCAGAGTTGTGTGGAAAAACTGTATGTTCTTATGTAGAGTTATTTTAAAAAGAATTGTGCTGAAAAAAAAAGACTCAAAACTTGGAATTGTGTGTCTTTACTACCTTGTACAAAAGTACCCTAAGTTTGTAAATAATTGTATACATATTTCTAAACCTGTTTAATTTTTCTATGCACTTTTTTATTTATAATGTTATTTGCTTAATAAAGATGTTAAAATGTTTGAACAAAAAACGGATGCTGTTTCACATGGATTTTAGTTTTTTTTTATTATACTTCATGCTGTAAATTGTGAAACCTAGAACGAAACTTAATCTGCAACCAGAAACCAGTGCGGCATCTGTTTTGCAGTTAATCCAGTAGAGTGGGCCAGTAAGGAATAAATATGCAGTACATTATTAGTGGAATTATTGCAAATAAAAGCATAGATCTATTGATTTATCTATACAAAGTGAAGTAAACTCAGACATGTTTAACAAAGCATTTCAGAATAAAATGTCAAATTTTAGGATTAGGATTTCAGTTAATGTGTAAAAATGATGTTCAGCTTTACAAATATTCATCAGGTTTTTTTTTTTTTTAAATCATGGAATAATAAGATGCCAGAATTATATTTTGTTGATGTTTGTACCCATGCCAGAAGGAACAGGATTGATGTAAGGATATAACAATGTGGGAATTGAGGGCTGATACAGATGATTTTTTTTTTGTTTGGTCATATTTGCTGATGCTGATACATAAACATAGAGAAAATGTAGAAACTGGAACTCTATCTACCTTAACATAACAGAGAATGCTATAGAAACAAATACAGTACAATGAATGAAATGTACATACTTAAGCATTGTAACCCAGCATCACCTAAACATTCTACCCTTTTGGAAAATCATGAAATATCAGTCAAATCTGAACATTTGTCCAAATTACCAGTAGCGATTTGATTACAATATCACTGTGTATCCCTAGATAGATGCATAGTTATTGTGTTCTTTTTCCCCTATGGAAGACGCCAAGACTAACAACATTGCAGTACACCTGTTCCTTTTGAAAGACGGGTCAAATTTCCAACTACACATTGTCCCAAATGTATGAAAGAATTAAGACTACAGCAGCTCTGAGGACAGCCCAACTCTGTCTGGGTAATACTTTTATATACACATTTATATACACTAAATGCCTTGTTCAAAATTACTGAAAAACAAAGTCATTCAGTGGTTTGATCTGAAGTTGCATCATTCAGTCACAGCAGTGGTGATGGGAACCAAACACCTGCAGTGTTTAAAGCCTGTATCACTTGTGATAGGACGTTTTGACCTAAACCATATTCAGTTGAGTATATTTATAGTGGAGAGGTACATACAGAGAGTTGTGATACATAGTCTCCAAAGAAAATGTCTGTTTTTGAATTTACCTCTATTTTACCATTATCATCATTACAAAAACCCATATGAAAACTCAGAAGACACATCTAGTTACACTCATTGTTTTACATGTCCTCAGTGGGCTAAATAAAATGGCTATATTTGCATTGTTGACCTTGTAGTCCCTCGTTTCTCTCGGCTGCATTGTAAAGAAATCCAAGTTGGTTGGTTTCCCATACACTGTTTGCACAATTTGAACCCACTTTGTGCACATCTTAATGAATATGCGGAAATTACGAAAAATCTGTGGAATCCCCCTAAAAATGTGAACTACGCTTCCATTGCAGTTACAGTGAGTTTCCCAAGAACAGCCACTGCATCATTCCGCCCAATATTGCTCAGCAATCCAGCCAAATGGCCTACATTCCAGTATGGGTATTTGGCAATGACCCTTTCCAGCACAGCAATAAGGGGACTCCTACTGTCCTTCATTGAATAGGCGTAGTTGATCCAGGTAAAAGGGATCGAACAGCTTGCAGCAAGGTGACGAGTGTTCTTTGCCCCAGGGATGTCCGGATCCAGCAAAAGGACAAGTTCTTCCACCACGTCCATATTATTCAGCACTGACTGAAGTGGAGCAGCCTGGATTTCAGGGGCTGGTGGAGTGCAAAAGACAGAAAATGAGATGCATATCTGGAATGTGTTTTTCCCTTTCTGAAAATTTACAGAACTAGCAGAGAGTTCCAAACTGGCTGAAAAACTAAAGGCTGGACTTTGAAATCTGCTAAATAAGTGGCCGTATTACAGAAACCTCTACTCTTTTTGTCTTAACTTCTTATCTGACAGGTCAAGATACGGTTTTTCACGAATTCATATTACAGAAGCAAATCTTATTTTAATTTAGAAATCGTATCGGATTTAAAGTTAGCCGGAAAAAAGGTCAAATAAAATGAAAAGGTGCGATAAAATGGAAGTTAAGAATAATGTGACAGCGCTTATAGTGCTGAGTATCAGAGCGTCGCCGCTCCACAGTTTCCGTTTCAATGTATAATTCTAAAGCGGAATTTCATAAAATTACTGAAAAACAAAGTCATTCAGTGGTTTGATCTGAAGTTGCATCATTCAGTCACAGCAGTGGTGATGGGAACCAAACACCTGCAGTGTTTAAAGCCTGTATCACTTGTGATAGGACGTTTTGACCTAAACCATATTCAGTTGAGTATATTTATAGTGGAGAGGTACATACAGAGAGTTGTGATGCATAGTCTCCAAAGAAAATGTCTGTTTTTGAATTTGCCTCTATTTTACCATTATCATCATTACAAAAACTCATATGAAAACTCAGAAGACACATCTAGTTACACTCATTGTAACTAGATGGCTATATTTGCATTGTAGGCCTTGTAGTCCCTTGTTTCTGTCAGAAAAAAAGGTCAGGTAAAATGAAAAGGTGCGATAAAATGGAAGTTAAGAATAATGTGACAGCGCTTAGTGCTGAGTATCAGAGCGTCGCCGCTCCACAGTTTCAGTTTCAGGGTATAATTTTAAAGCGGAATTTCACAGTTTCAGTTTCATTTTCCCAAACGGTTGAGCCGACCGCGTTAACGTTATTCCTCCTAATAAACAGACACACGTTTAGCTCTGTCTCCTCATTATTCACCGCCATCACTGAAGTATTTTAGCTGACCAGTTTTCATCAACACTTGAAGGTAATACGATGCGACAGTGGAGATCGTGTCTGCAGTTAACTGCAGTTAAAACACTGTAAGATAAAACCCTCACAAGTCAAAGCTGCATTTTGGATGTAGATAAATGTAACGACATTATGCCAGTTTTAGTGAATTATATGCTGTTTGTCACTGCATAAAGCAATAGAAACAGACGGTTAAAGCAGAAGTTAAGACACCTCTGGGGTTTATCTTAAAGTTAGTACAGAATTTAGGACATTTTGTCCAGTCAGGATTATTCTGTAATAATGTTTTCTTAACTGGAGTTAAGATAAGATTATGAACTTAAGAACTGTTGTTCTGTAATAGCTTCTGTCCTAAATTCAGTGCTAACTGAAGTTGTTATGGCGACTAAGCAGATAAGCTTTCAGACTTAAAAAGTTTCTGTAATACAGCTCCTGGAGTCTATAAACTTGATTATCTCATTTCCCACACCTTACTAAGTCATGACCATGATATCTCATTCCCACACCTTTCTAAGTTGGAGTTACAACTTAATTATCTCATTCCCACACCTTCCTGAGTCAAGACCATGACTTATCTCATTCACACACCTTACTAAGTCATGGTCATGACATAATTATATTGTTCCCACGTCTTACTATCTTGCGGCCATGACTTAACTATCACAATATAATCATCTCGTTCCTATGCCTTATTAAATCATGACCATGACTCAATTATCACATTCCCACTTCTTACTAACTTGTGGCCACGGCTTAACTATTACAACATAACTATCTCTTTCGAACACATTATTGAGTTCAAATGATCTATTTGAATACTTTACTAAGTTATGGCCACACTTTAGGATCCTGTTCCCACGCTTTAAATAATTAAGTGGTGGCCACAGCTTAGTTAGGCATGATAACCAGATGATTGAGTAAGTTATGGCCACTCTTTATTTTTATTAGGAAGGGATGTGACCAGTGAGGCTCTATATAAGACCCTTGACATGAGCTACTTAACATGAGAAGTGTACCGCATTACTGCATTATGAACCTGTTCAGTCTTTTTAAAATAATACAAGAGAAAAGATCACAAAGACTTTGGCTCTTGTTTTGAATTTATTACTGTGGCAGTCCTCAAATTAGTTATGGCTACTTACACAAAAGGTCATTTATGTCCTTGATGTCCTCAGTGGTGCCCAACTTGAAATGTTCCCTGCTGTCTGCCAGATTACTCAGGCTTCTTTTACTAAAGCATTTTTTCATCTCTTTGAATAGAAGAGAAAAATGTAAGTCATTGGTAACTCAGCACTGCTTTCAGCTAAACAGTAAAATTCTGTTGAAACATACTTTGTGGAGGGACTTTTTATGGAAGAAGACGTTTAATAACCACAACTATTTTAGCTATTTCAAAACAGACATATGACCTAAGACACAGAGCAAGGGGAATTACCTGTAGCGAGACCTGACCTTAAGTTCTTGAAACTGTCACATCTCTCAATAAAATCCCATAATATTACTTGTGTCAGCAGTACTACGCCCTCTCCTTTGTGCTTGTGGTAATTTGACCCTTCAGAAGTGTGGTCAACTTTATTTCCTTTTTCCTGTTCTGCAGCTGCAGGAGTTCCTCTCGCCCTTCCCCTGCCCGATACAAACACATACTAACCTCTGCAGCCTCTGTGTTTCTTTTTCTTAATGATGTACAGCAGACACAGTAAGCAAGCACAAAGCAGGATGGTGATGGTGAGAGCAGTCGAGACAGTCACTGTAAAGCATTCAAAAAAAGGAAAGAAAAAATAGTCTCAATTACCCACATAGTGCCAAAATACAAGCAAGAGGTAAATGAAAGCACATAAGGCACAAAAAAAATCAAACTTGCAAAGGCTATGATGGTTTGGGTCTCTAATGAAGGCATTTGGATCTGTTTGGGTGGTCTTTGCTGAATACGTTGATTGTATTGTTTCACTGGAAATAGTAGTTTCAGTGTATGACTTGGAACTGGCTGTTGTCATCAGATGATTAGTCGAGGACTTGGAACTGGCTGTTGTCATCAGATGATTAGTTGAGGACTTGGAACTGGCTGTTGTCATTAGATGATCAGTTGTAATCACCTAAACAAAGAAGGATGAGTATAAATGTAAAAGTCCTGGAGCTGAATTATTTTATAAATACATAGGCACATTACATGTCCAAACATTTGTAGGTTCCAATGTTTCTTCAGAAATCAATGGTATTACTAAGGAGTCCCCTGTTTGCTTCAGTGACAGCCACTATTCTTTTGAAAAGTAGATGGTGGAACATTGCTGTGAGGATTTGATTGCATTTGGCCTCAAAAGCATTAGTGAGCTCAGGTACTGAGGTTGGATGAGTTATTCTGGATCACCAATGACATACCAAGTCATCCGAAAGGTTTTGGATGGAGCTCCGTTACACCAGTGAATGCAGTTCTGCTGCTCCAAAGCCTAATGCGGAGGGGCTTTACGCTCCTCTAGCAGACACTTGGCATTGGGCATGGCGACCTTTGTCTCATGTGCAATTGCTTTTCTCTGGAGACTATTCAAGCTGTGGGTGCACGACTGATCTTCCTCACATTTTGAATTTTTTCCACAGGGAAACTCCTCTTCAGTTACAAATCTTGAAGTCTGCCCACAAAAAGCAGTGTTGGGCTTTACTGTTCACTTACTGTGCTTCGTGTTGTTGTAGGCTGGGTTTCATTTCTGCAGTCTCTGTCCAACATACAGAACACATTTGAGGAATGGTTAGAAATCAGCCAAGCCAAGACAAACAAGTGATTTCAAATCTTGTGTGTATAAAATATGTGTGAACTGTACAAACTGCCAGCAGATTTAACATGTAGAATAAATCTAGGGAACTCACTCTTCTCCACAGCAGCGGCTGTCAGATATGCTTGTGCAGCGCGACAGTAATTGTGATGATGGGCAAATGGAGCACAAACTGCACCAAATAAATTCTCCATTGTTAAAGGTGCCATCGCTGCACTTCCTGTAGGGGAGTTCATGCATTCCTTCATCATCTGACTGGCCACAGTTTGGGGAAAACTCATGACCTATCGTGAAATTGGAGCAATGTTTGATGATTTACTCACACTATTCCAAATACACTCCAAAAAATGTTTTATGAACTTAATTTTATTATGCTATGCATTTCCAATTCCAAAAAAGTCAGCATTTACAGACATGAAGCTATTTTCAGTTTATAAGACTAATATCCCTCTTGGTTTTCATAACTGCATATATAATTTCCCACATGGGCTATTTAAAAATGGCTTGAAATAAATTCAAATGCACATAATTTTTTCTCTGCAAAATGTTCAATCAGCTGAGATATGTTTGTTGTGTGAATCCATCGACTACGCTTGGGGCTTAATTGTTCCTTACAAGGGTTGGTTAGATAAATCTATGCCATATTCAAGTTACTTCAATCAAGCAGTGATTCAAGAAGTAAAAGTAGCCACAAATAAATAAATAAATAAATAAATAAATAAATAAATAAATAAACATACTTCTGAAAATACACCATTACAAAAATTAGGATTAAAACCTGATGGTCTTGCTTCTTAACTGGAATTGTTTTAATGGTTACCAAACGTTTCATATAAAACACATCTGAAAACCATTAAATGCGTCAGTCACAGACCAATAGGACCCTTTACACTGTGATATCAACCCCTCAAGAAAAGCAGCGAAACGCCCGTAATCTAGTACCAAAGGAACAGAACTTTTCTTCCTATGGTCTGTTCTTCTCTTCTAGGACTAAAATCAAAGGATAAAACTCGAAAGTGAGATGTGAGAGCAAAAGCAAGTTTTTGAGCTAAACCCCTAGAAGAGGGAAGAGATTGAAACCGATAAGACAAAAAGGCTGAATAAATGTATCTTTTCCTAGCCCCGCTGTTACTCACCGGGTTTGATCTTATGTTTTACGCTGCATGACACACATCTGTTGTGGGTCCTATCCCAGTACTCCTCCGCGGAGCTACACCGGCTAGAATAGACTGATCTCCGGAACGCAGACGGAGGGTTGCTGCTCATGGTCGTTGCAGGAAATCTACTCTCGATCTGCTGAGCTCTTTCGAAGAGCAGGGCTCAGCAAGAGAGGTGGAGTGATGACGCAAACAGGAGGCAGGGCAGAGTGACCATCAGAAACATCCTAAAGCAAAGGTTTGTTCCCAGAGTTTCACCAGAGGTTTATGGATTTGGGGGTAAACCTGGCTGAACATGTGAAGATCTGGGGCTTAGACCAGTTCACTGTAGGAATGTTCGGAGTCTCCTTCCCAAGATTTTAAAGCCTTTTTTATTCAATGTGAGGATCTAGACATCAACAACTCTTACAAGAACTCAGCATTAATCACTGACGTGTCCTATCAACGAAATCATAAAACAAATGAGAAAAGACGAGTGAAAACACCGCTTACAAGAGAAAACAGATGTTTCACAACATTTACATTTCCGCTCTCCACATCAACCGTTTCTTTGTTACAACCCTTTATAATGTTAATAATGTTAGAGAAGCAATTGATCTCTCTCTCTCTCTCTCTCTCTCTCTCTCTCTCTCTCTCTCTATATATATATATATATATATATATATATATATATATATATATATATATATACGGATATTAGGGACGGGGGGGGGTGGGGGGGTTGGGGGGGGGTGATGGTAGGGAGGTCCCACAGCCCAACACAAGAAAGCACAAATAACACATAACACATCTTAAACTTACAACCAAACAACGCTATCAACAACAAATACAACAATGAAGGACAACATTTAACGCCACTTTGGCGGAGGAGAGTGAAAACATTAACTGTGGTCCAGTGGCGCACACATAAAATCTGGGGGGGGGGATTATTCCTTCATAAACACAGATATACTTTCGAACCATTTGAATGTCTATGTTCGTGTTATGACCATGAGGGCAAACTTCTACAAAACGTTTCAGATTTAGTTCCCCCTCAAACTCACGTTCCCCTTCATGAACCACATCCGCAGGAGCCGCATTGGCTGACAACAACGCTGCAGCTGCGGAAAGTAAAAAAGGTTCAAGAAAGGTGTAAATCTTCGCTTTTTTAGCTGAATCCGAAGCTTTTGGGTACATGTTTTTGAGATGAGCCCTCGGGTTGCTAGTGCTGGAATGGTGGGCTAACTGTAGCTTACATAAAGCTTGCATTCAACTTTATCTGAAGGTTCAACAGTTTTGTGGTCTGCTGACCGGTAATGCTGCCTTCAAGTCCGGTGTTGTGCCGAATTCGGCACCCCTGCCGCGAGATGCACCCCCTCACGGGAGCGCGCGCTCAAAGTCTTTTGCTCGAAAGCGGAGGTCATCCGCTTTTACTTTACATATATCGATTTGAAGAACTTGCAAAACATCACCTTCGTCTTGATCAACAACACCATAAATCGCTGTTTTACAGAATGGAAATACCCCAGATGTTCTTCTAAAGTACAGTGACTCGTAAATAGTAACACAAAAGTATAATGTAGCCTACATACACCGCTGCTTACTTATTCTACGACATAGCAGTCTGCATTGACTTTGTATGCAGCAAAATTTGTTGCTTGTTGCTATTTGTCAACAAAATATACATATGAATTTCACCTACTTATCGTGTCATGTTCCTCACCAGTCTGGATCAGGTTCTTTAGGTTTTACACTCTAAAGGCAGTGACTTGTGAAAAAACTCTCAGGAGATGCAACCCATTATAAATCGGGACACACTCTCATTGCTGCCATGTAACTTGCATGGATACATACTGTTTGCAAATACATACTGCTAAAATCATTTCATGGTAGACTCAAAAGAAAGAAAATGACAGGGAAATGCTTTGTATAGCAGAACACTGGCCAGAAAATGCCAGTTTTTTGCTAAATTGATGTTGCATCCCAGAAAATTTATTGCAGAAAACACATGTTGGCCCTAAGTGTATATTACTAATATATTTCATAGTGCTATTCATAAAAAACGTTACAAGAGGATGCTTTTCAAGTGAGTCCACCTGTCAGGAAAAGAACCCTCTGTTAGATCTGGCTGGGGGGTTGTTGTATCTATGATACTTGTATAGGTTTCACATGTTTCATAGTAGTATCAACAAACCTGCTGGGAAATGCACTGCTTCTCAAATCTGACTATATTATTATTACATCCAGGATGCTTATACAGGTATTGCATATTGGTTCCAAATATGTTGAAGGAATGCAGATTATCTCCTGTAATCAAATTTGAATACAATAACAAAGTGAACACATATAACCAAAATAACAGTCTAGAATATTAACAAACATTCAAAAGTCAAAAGAACAAATTAACAAAATGGTAAAAAAAAAAAGTAACAAAGTAACAAAATATCCTTCATCAATAGAATCATTGTGGTCTGTACTTACAGGAGAATTCCACCAACTTTTCAAACTTTGTTATTCAGAGTTATTATCAAAATTATTATCAAAGTTATTCAGAGTGGTTTGGTACAAAGCGCCTCATTGTGGAGAAACTTGCCAGCTCTGGTTTCTTTACAACTCATACATAGCCATTTTATTTACTACCTAAAACAATTAGTGCACCTACATGTCTTTTCAGTTTTTATATTCATTCATTCATCATCTAAACCACAGATATACACAGTCACACTAACACTCACATTTAGGGACAATTAAATATCTCCAGTGGGCCTGACTGCATGTCAGGGAGGAAACCGGAGCACCCAGAGGAAACCCACACAGACACAGGGTCACCTGGTCACCTGACCGGGCAATCAAACCCAGGCCCTTCTTGCTGTGGGGCAACAGTACTACCCACTGCATCACGTGCTGCCCTGAATTTTAATATGTAATGTTAAAAATGTTAGAATAGCATGAAATCTAATAAATAAATAAACCACAGTTTTCTTTGGGGGCTGCATTTACCTCTCTGCCATGAATGTGTTTTAGGTGAAATTGTATCTTAAAATCACCATAAAACAATGTATCACACATCGATCAATAAATTCATAACCATTTCATGTACTTACTTTCTGTGATGTAGATTTTAGAGACATTAAACTCTTCAGACGTCTGGTGTCTGTCTCCACCACAGTGAACAGTTCAGACTCAGTAACTTTCTCTATAACAAAGCATTTCACACCAAACCACTCTGAATAACTTTGTTTACAACGTAACCATTTAATTTCGCTGAACTGTAGAAAAATAGTTGGAATTCCCCTTTAATTTGAAGCAGCACTGTTTGCATAACTTTTGCTTACGTAAGATATTTTTGGTGTGCTGATTTACAGCTGATTATGCTGCACATATGAAATAGTATTAACTGCAGTGTTCAGTCTGCGTGGGAATGTAAGGGGATGCCAAAAAAGAGACAAAAATCATCTACCTTGTAAAACTGCCATCCATGTTAATAGCATCCATATTTCAGATTTACACACAGAGTTGCACTGGCTGCATTGTGCTGTCAGTCACACCTGGTTCTATTTAGTTTGGAATAACTTAAGTTAATTTAGCTCATTATTTTTAGGTACGCTCATGTTCTGTTTTTGCGGCAGCTTTTCTGAAGGGTACTTTTATTCTGAAAGCTAGGTACAGCCAGTGTTGCTGTTGTTATGGTAAACTTCAGTAGGCTGGGTGGCTATCAGACCAGGGTAGGCTTTGTGCTATATAAGAGCAAAGCTGTGCTGTATAAAGCTGCTGCCTTTCTTGTGTAAACTGGTCCTTTACATTTAGCTTTCCAATAAAGTTGAGTTATGGACCACCTCTGCAACTTGCACCCCCTTCATGTAATCATCTCCCGACCTCTGTTTGGGACTCAGACACACTCTCTACATTTAGAACTAGACCAAAAACTTTCCTGTTTGCACAAGCATTTTGCTAATATCAGTTATTGCACTATTACTCACTAATATCTCTCCATAAACAGACCTGTCCTGTTAATCTCTCTCTCTCTCTCTCTCTCTCTCTCTCTCTCTCTCTCTTTCTCTCTCTCTCCCTTTATTTGAGCCCCTGAGTGACATTTTTCTGAGTCACCACATTGGAGCCACCAGGGCTGCTAGAGTCACCAGGGTTGCATCTCTGTTGGCTGATCTGCTCCGTTTTGATCACCATGGAGTTTCATGCTGTACAAAGCTGTGCAAACCTCACTTGCAAGAACTGATCCTCCTGATGCTGCTGCTGCTGCATAAACTCAAACTATTTAATTAACCATTGCCCACCTGTTTTTCCATGTTTTTGTATTATAATATTTTATACTAATGCTGTTTGCTATCCGGTATCGACCAGAGGAGGATGGGTTCCCCGTTTGAGGGTACACCTTTTGTAAAAAGCGCTATATAAATAAACTTTGACTTGACTTGACTTGACTTGACTTGCTAACACACAGGCCTCGATTACACATTCTGTAAAAATGATGAAGTAAGAAGACGTGTTCATGTTGAGAAGGTCTGTGACAGGGGTATCCAAGCTTATCCGCAAACAGCCAGTGGGCCTCATTCACCAATATCTTCTTAAGTTTTTTGTTAATCTGTTCTTGAGAAAAGTCCTAAGAAAAAGTCTACATCAGATTCAAGATGTGTTCTTAAACTGCATAATTGTTCACACTTTGTGCTCTTGAGTGTGTGTAGTTTCTGTTCTTACCTAAGAACAAATCCCAAGTAAGAAAACATCGGTGAATGCCAAAACTGAGTAAGTGGGTTTTAGAAAGAAATTCCCATTTAAGAATGGTTGGCGAATGAGGCCCAATGTGGCTGCAGAAAAAACCACGTGCATTAATGTGGAGCTACAAGAGCATTATTGAGATCTGACACAGATGTTGGGCTATAAAGCCTGGTTCATTGGCATTCCAGTTGATCCTGAGGATGTTGGTTAGGATCTTTAGACTTTTATCCAATCCACCAGTTGACTTGCTGACAAGCAGCCTTCGATTACAGGTTCTGTAAAAATGATGAAGTAAGCAGAGAGGGTCTGTGGAAGGAGTGTTGGAGCTTATCTCCAAAGGGTCAGTGTGCCTGCAGGTTTTCATTCCATCCAGACAACAGCACACTTGATTAACAGATGGAGACCAAATGAATAAACAAATACAATCAA